CCATCCTTGTTTGGGGAACTTTTCCAAGCCTGGGTGGTGGGGGGGGGGTGCGGGATAATGGGTTGAGGGAGATTTATTTTCTTTATGAGGAAAGAGAGAGGGGAGAAAATAAAATCTCACTCTTTATCAGATAGTGACTACTGATTATAGTTTTACTTTTTGCCTTGGCTGCCAGGAAGCTCCAGGCTAACATGGCACTCTCCCTCCTTAAATGATTGCTTATCTCTAACTGTGCTACTTCATATGTCCCTCTCCATCATCACCTCAGCCTGAGGACGGCATCCCTTCTATGAAGCCATGTAGCGTTTTATCCAGGGGTTTATGCCTTTATGCCTTGGGTTCTGGCTGTTACCTCCTCTGATGAACTACATGATACTTGAGAACAGTATCTCTGTGTACCCTCCAAAATAGCCGGACTGAGTCTAATACATCATTAATACCTGCCATTACTTGTGGAGTGAATGTTGGCTAAATAGATTTTTTTTTTAAAGTAAGTCTAACCACGAAGAAAAAGGAACAAGGAGTTGTTCTTCAGCGCCAAAACTATCTTAATCATCAAACATGTTTCCCTTTTGCTTTATTTAGCTGCCAGTAGCTTCAATGTAATTCAGTGTTCAACTGCTGTTACAGTGTCTGGATAGAAAGCCCAGAATTACGGTAGAGAAACCCCAGTTTTCTTGGTTCTGGTGGCTGGAGAGGCTGCCGTCAGCCTGTGGTTTCCAGACATTTCTAGCGCCTGACCCCTCCGCTGTGGCTCTGTCTTCTGTACTGTATTCAGGGTTTTGCGTGTCTGCTCCCCACTTCCTCATCTCAAGTCTGTGCGCCCCCTGGTGGGCAGGGACCCAGCCTGCTTTGTTGGCAGCCCCAGGCCTTTGCATAGCACTGGCCCGGGGCAGCCGCGGGCCTGGGAGGGCGTCTGCAGGGCCTGTCATCGCTGCTTCGAAGCCTGGGAGCGCCGGCCAGAGGAGGAAGCGCGCCAAGTTCTGGTATTGTTGCTGCAGCTGGTGTTGTGAATCAGGCCGACGAGCAGCGCATCCTCTTACCCGGCTATTTCACGACACCAGGGTTGCATCATACCCATCCTCTCCAGGCGAGCCTCGTGGGACCCAGGCGGACGTGGACGTGGGGGTGGGGTGGGGGCGGACAGGCTGTGTGTGAAAGATTGTTTTCTTTAGCCCACTGGATCTCAGTCTGACTGCCCCTCAGGACCACCTGGAGAGCTTTCCAAGAATACTGATGCCAGCCCCTCACCCCCTTTGGGTCCCAGGCCCATGGAATCCCTAGTAGGGGCCGCACACTCAGCATCTGTCAGAGGCTCCAGTGAGACTGTGAAATGTGTGTGCAGGCAGGGGCTTAGAGCTGGGCAGTTGTCTGTTCTTGCCTGATTGTCACCATAGACCCTCCCAGCTCTTCCTGGCCCTGTTTTTCTTCCTGGCACTGCTAACACACCATTATGCCCCCCACCAGCTTTTCAGAAGCAGACGAACTCTGATTTCCCCAGGACAAAGGTCAGGCTCCTACCCTGGCATTCAAGCCCTTCTTACTGGGTTTCCCTACTCAGAAATGACACCACCTTTCCCCGCCAGAGTCCTCCCTGCTCCTCCATGAATCCATGTGCTGGTTCTGTCAGCTCTGCCTTGAGCCTGTATCTCAACTCCCAGTACTTCTCACGACCTTGTCATCCACAGCCACTGCCCAGCCACCACTTTCATGTACCCACAGTGGCCCCACTGATCTAACTCTGCTTCCCTACATCCAGTCTCCACACAATGGCCAAAGTGACCTTTGAGAAATATAAATCTGCCCATCACAAAATAGAACATGAAGCTTCTAACCCCAGCTTATAAGGCCTGGTGTCCCCTCTTCTGTGTCTCAAACCCATCTCCTCGGTCCCTTGGCTCTTACCGTCCTAGGCTCCTTGCCATCTTGAAGCCCCAACCACTCTCCCCCAGGGCCTTTGCACATGCTCTCTCCTCTGTCTGGAACCCCTGTGCTCACATCTGCTCACTTATGGGTGGCTCCCCGTTATTGTTGGAGCTCAGCTCAAATTTCTCATTCTCAGAGAAGCCTAAATGCCCCTCCTTTAGAAAAACAACAACAACAAAAAATGAATGTACTGTAACGATTGCTTGTTTTCTGCTTGTCTGTCTCTCCCACTAGAATGTGAGCTCCAGGAGGGCAGGGCCTTTGTCTTGTTCCCTGTGGTACCTCTTTTGCATAGCACGTGGCATGGTGTGCAGTAGGCACTCAATAAATGTGTGTGACTGGAGAAATAATCGGACCCCTTTCAGCCTCATCTACCACCCTTTCTCCCCTCCACCTTCCCCCAGTTCCGTGAGCTCTAGTCCCACGGTCTGGTCCCTTCCACCGATCACGCCTTCCTGGGTTCCATGTCCCAGAACCCCTCCATCCCTGCCTACACCTCCCCTCCCAGCTCCCCTCTCTTCCGGGGCAGTCTCCCTGTTCTACCAGCCTGTTGCTGCCATCTCCTTGCTGGTTCGTCTGCTGGCCTAGGCTGTGAACTCCAGTTCTGGTGCATAAAGACTTAGGCGCCTCTGAGGCCGTGAAAGACACAGGCCCTGCTGCCCTCACCATTTCAGCCCCCTGTGGCCAGAATTTCCACTTCAGGGAGTTTCCCGACAGTGAGTCTTTTCTGTTCCTCCACTGCCCCTATGCTCCCTCCTCTCAGAAGCAGGAGAGGACAGGGGCCCTTGAGTGAGGACGAGCGGCGCTAGCATGGGTGTCGTTTCCCTGTGGCCACTGACGGAGCAAAGGCTCAGCAAGACCAGGTGACCTGCTCAGAGCCCTGGATCAGCTGACAATGGAGAAGGGCCACATCCCAGGGCTTCGCTCAGGGTTCCTGCGACTCCCTCCCCCAGGCCTCAGGCTCTTGCAAGGCAGGAGTCGTGTGTGACCATGCTGTGCCCCCATCAAGAAGAGTGCCCCTGTGAACATTTCTCAAAGTGATAGACGCCCACTCAAGGGCAGGAAGGCCCTCTCTTGGGGGGGTGGGCGGTCTGTGCCTTGGGACACAGAGTTCCGACAGTCCCTTCAATTCTCTGACCCATAAGCCTTTCGAGGGGTCCTGCTTAAATCCCACCCCACCCTAGAGAGATATAGGGATGGGGGAGGGCTATGGGGAAGGCTTCTTGAAACACAAATGCTCCAGTGCTAGGAGGAACCTTGCAGTTCACCCAGGCCTGGGAATGGCGAAGGGGAGAGGAAGTGGCTTGCTCAAGGTCACCCAGCAGAGTGGTGGCCCCTCACTCGGCCTGGGCCCGGGGCCCGGGTGCTGCTGGAATCTGGCCACTTCCTCTCCTGAGATCTTAATCAGGAATTTTCCACAGCTGCTCCAGGACACGGTGTGAGGGGGTGTTGGGCGGCTGTGATTTTCACCAGTCAAGTGGCAGTTAAAGATGGAGAGGCCGATAAGATCTGTAAGCTCTGCCCTGAGGCCCCATGGGAGGGAAGGAGGAATTGGCAGATGGTGGGGGTGGGGCCTGCCAGGAAGGTTGAAAACTGGCCAGGAGCCCTGGCCCTGGAGTCCTCACCACGGAGCCTTCACCTTGCTGGCAGCTGGCATGGGGAGAAGAGATGCAGCAGGACAGAAGAAAGGAGAAACAGGCTGCTGTGTAGACAAAGCCTCAGCTGACCCCAGGGACCTCTGGAGCTGGGGTGGGCCTTTGGAACCAGGGACAGGGCACCAGGCCTCTGCATCCCACACCCATCATTGGACAAGAGTTCCATGGGGGAGCTCGGCCATAGGCAAGGCCATTCCCATAGGGGCAGATGCTGAGACTCCTCCCAGCAGCTGGGAGGTGTCCTTTTCTGGCGGAGCATCGGGCATCCACCCCACTAACTCATCTCTTCAAACTCTGAGCTACTTCTCTTTCATCCCCTATGACTCAAAAGTTCAGCTCCCCACCCTGCCTTGGCTTCAGTGTCTCTGGTGACCAGATTGATGCCCTCATGGCCACTGTGCATTCAAAGGCTGACCTCAGGGATGCTGGCACAACTGGAGGCTGATCTGGCTCAATACTAGGATGGCGCCCGGCCCGCTGCCTGCCGTGGGAGCTGGTTGCTCTTGGGCTGGCTCCTTGGGCTCCACACCCCAGTGGCCCTGTAAGCAGTGTGTGTGGGGTTGGTGTCCACTTGTCTTCCTGGCCACTGGGCAGCCACAAGCCCCAGGGGCTCATTGGTCCCCTGGTGACTGCAGATCACAGCTGGTACCTGCTGAACTCTCCTTGGGGCTGCTGGTACATAAGTGCATAAACATTCTGAGATACCTCTGGGAGGACATGTAAGAGTGGACTTGGGTCTGAGTAAGAGAGACTAACCTTTTATATATATGTATGTGTATTGTTTTAAATGGGGCTTCCCAGGTGGCACAGTGGTCAAGAATCTGCCTGCCAATGCAGGAGATTCAAGAGATGCGGGTTTGATCCCTGGGTTGGGAATATCCTCTCAAGTAGGAAATGCAACCCATTCTAGTATTCTTGCCTGGAAAATCCCATAAACAGAGGAGCCTAGTGGGCTATAGTCCACAAGGTCGCAAAGAGTCAGACACGATTAAGTGGGCACACACACACATCATTTTAAATGTCATACCACTCAGCTATTCAAAATGCTAAGTAAATAAAACTGACACAAGAAGTTTCTGAGAGGGTCATCAGGCTCTCTGGGGTCCCCAGTGGGGCCCCTCATAGTGTCCCTATGGGTCCACTCCTTCCTGGGATTCAGCTGCAGATGTCTGCTGCCCCAGACTTAGAAGAGCCTCCCTAGAACCCAGGGGCTGGGCCAGTCTCAGCTCCCAGTCCAAGGCCAGTTGCTATCTCTGCGATCAGATGGTGGGCAGGTCAGCAATGAGCACGTGCTCTGCCTCCCACCCTGACCAGGGACCTTGCTGACCAGCTGTGGGCGGTTTGGGCCAACCTCCCCGTCTCCTCCCTGCTGTGGGCCCAGCCTATAAAGCCACCCTGCATGTCTCCACCGATCCTGGCCCCCTCCCCTGACACCCAGAGCCCACGATGGCAGAGCTGCCAGTGTCGGAGACGCCCAGGGACCCCACTCTGTGCAGTGGGCGCTTCACCATCAGCACGTTGCTGGGGGGCGAAGAACCCCCCCCACCGGCCGCCTATGACAGCAGCCACCCCAGCCACCTGACGCACGGCAACACCTTCTACAATCGCACCTTTGGCTACAACACTATTGATGTGGTGCCCGCCTACGAGCACTATGCCAACAGCGCCCTGCCTGGCGAGCCCCGAAAGGTCCGGCCCACGCTGGCCGACCTGCACTCCTTCCTCAAGGTAAACACCATCCCAGAAGAGCAGACCTTCCTGCTGTGTGACCTCCACCGGTTGCCTAACATCTCTGAGCCTCAGCTCTGTCATCTGTGTCGTGGGGACACAGAGGGGTCCTCCTCATGGGCTGAGAGGCCCATGTGAAGTGTGGGCATGGGAGCTGTAAACCTCTGGGCACATGGTGTAATGTTTATTGCCCAGTCTGGCAACCCTGTCAAGCAATCTAGGGTTTCCCAATGAAGTAATGAGTTCCCAGTAGTTTAGAGAGGTTTCACACACCTAAAGGAGATGAGGAAAGAAGGGTAGGGAAGGTCTGCAGCAGAGAGGGGGCTTACTAGGTTTGCGCCTTGGAGGCTGAATGGTGGAGGATGGAGAGCTAGGGGAGCTGGATTGTCCTGACCCCGGCCTGCCTGACCCATGGTCTCTGGGCTCCCAGCAGGAAGGCAGCCACCTGCATGCCCTCGCCTTTGACAGCCGGCCCAGCCATGAGATGACTGATGGGCTGGTGGAGGATGAGGCAGGTACCAATGGCGAGAAGAACCCTGAGGAGCCTGTGCGCTTTGGCTGGGTCAAAGGGGTGATGGTGAGTGGATGGGATGTCCAGGGATGGGGGTTGGGGAGACAGAGCTCTGTGCAGGCTCAGCTCTGACTCTCAAGAGGCAGTGGTCAAGACAGACCCAAGACCCGGTTTCCCCATCTGCATAGCCATCTCAGATTTTCTCTATCTTTTTGCGTCCTGACCTCCATTTACTCCCCAGACTGAGGCCTGTCCCTGGGGTGGACCTCTGTTTGACTGTTCCACTCATCATGTGACCTGTCCATGCCTCACTTTCTTCATCTATGAAGTGATCAGCATTTAACCAATTAATAGATAAAAGGTGCATGAATCAATGCCTGCCTTGGAGTTATTGGGAGAAACTGTGTTATCCCCTAAGAGCCACAAGAGGGCAGCACCTAATACAAATCCACAGCTCCTCTCATTCTCCGCGATGAGGAGATGGTTTGCCATGTTAGGTCCCGAGACAGCAAACAGTCTAATGAACTTGACTTTGAAAGACTTTATGGGACTTTACAGAGGGGGTCACATGAGGGTTAGGAGAAAGCTTTAGTCCCACTCTGGGAGGCAGGAGGCCTAGGTTCTGACCTTAACTCTTTCAACTCCCTGCGGGCTGTGCCTTTCTCCATCTGAATGGTCACCCCTCCCTCTGATCCAGCGTCTGGATCTCCTTCCCTCCCTTGGTGCCCACAGCCCGGTGTGGGCCCCATTCAGTACCTCAGCACATATGGAGGCCTTCTCCATCTCTTGGGCCTAAAATTTTGGGTCACTCTGTCATACACTCAAAACTAATATAATACTGTAAATCAACTATACCTCAATTTTTTTTTTATTAAATTAAATCATTTTAAAGACTAAAAGAAAAGAGAAATCTCCAGGACTTGTAACTGCCACCCGTCCCACTCCAAAGACCACCACATCCCTCCCACGTGGGAATTCCAGCCTCAGCTGTGGTCTCCAGTTTGGCTTTAAATTTGGAAGCTGAAGTCACAGCAACCTAAGCCCTGACTTCTGCTTGTATGTGGGGCATCAGCTCAGCTGGCATTTGCTGAATTCTCCCTAAATGCCAGGTTGTGGGCCAACAGTTGGCCACTGGGCCATGACTGGGGCCGGCAGACACAGTACCCTGTGCTTGGAGTGGGGTGAGAGGTGATAGACTTGAAGCCCACCTTCAGGCCTCGATGGAAGGAAGGCAGGAGAGTGGTGGGACAGGTGAGTCTCTGAGTACCCCTCCCCTCCCTGCCCCGTAGAACCAGAGAGGCACTGAAGTGGGCACCCGCTCAAGTGGGTGAAGCAAAGAAAGCCCAGGTGTTCCCTAGGTGCTCGATGCCGTGCCATGACTGGGGACAGGGATGTATGTGTTTGATCTTGGGGTACCCAGCCCCCAGGTGGCCTCTGACGCCCCTCTCCTCCCAGATCCGCTGCATGCTCAATATCTGGGGTGTGATTCTCTACCTGCGGCTCCCCTGGATTACCGCCCAGGCGGGCATTGGTGAGTGCTGCCTCTGGGGTGCGGGGGAAGGGGCCCGGTCCTCCCAGTCTTGAACTCGGGTTATGGAGCCACGGGGCCCTGCAGTGACGGAGGTCAGGGCAGTGTGGTCCAGGAGCACTGCATGTGGGGTCAGCAGGCCTGGGGGCTCTGCCTGGCTCAGTTTGCCCTCAGGAAGTCAAGCTCTGGGGGCCAAATTCCTCCCACACAGTTTCTGGGTTAGGATCTCTCACTGAGGAAAGAGCAGCTGCTGGTTCTGTAGCATGCTGTGTGACCTTGGACAAGACTTCAACCTCTTTGAGCCTTAGTTTCCTCATTAGCAAAACGTGGCAATAACTGTTCCTCTGATGTGCATAAAACAGCAGAGAGTTTGGCACCCAGCGGTGCTCAGCAAGAGGTAACTATTACTTTATTTTTTATTATTAAAAAAAAATACCTCCCCGTGCATATGTAAAGATCCTTTACATGTTGGCTTATCAGCTCCCTGGCTCTTCAGAGTATACCATGAGGTAGACAGAGACCCATTTTTCAGAAGAGAACAGAGAGAAGGACAGTGACTTAAGTCCCACGGTGAATCAGTTGGCTGACTCGGGTTTCTCATTCTGGAAATGCTCTGACTGCGTTTTGGGGCGATCACCCCCCCACACCCCTACAGTCCTGACCTGGATCATCATCCTGCTCTCGGTCACCGTGACCTCCATCACGGGCCTCTCCATCTCTGCCATCTCCACCAACGGCAAGGTCAAGTCAGGTGGGCCCCACCCCAGCCCCCAGATCCTCCTCTGGTAGGACCCTGTGGCTTCACCCTGGGGGCAGATCTCTCATCCACTCCCTACCCTCCACCCCAAACCCAAACAGGGAATGTTTCTTCTGGTTGCAGATGGAGGCTTTGGGCAGTCTCTCCACACCCACGGGGTGGCCTTGGGTCTCTCCTCCCCCATGGACCACTGGGTCCCATGCTCACCTCCCCCCAGCCTCAGCTCTGCCCGCCCCAAGGCCACCCCAGCCAGCCAGGCCCTCTCGTGTCATGGCTCCTGGCTCTGTCCCCTACAGGTGGCACCTACTTCCTCATCTCCCGGAGTCTCGGCCCAGAGCTCGGCGGCTCCATCGGCCTCATTTTTGCTTTCGCCAACGCCGTGGGCGTGGCCATGCACACTGTGGGCTTCGCAGAGACTGTGCGGGACCTGCTCCAGGTGAGGCCGGGGCTGGAGCCTGGGCAGAGGGAGCCCGGGTGGCCTGCTGCCTCCGCCCCCACCCCATCCGTGCCAGGCCTTCCTGCCCCTCTCTCTGCCCAGCCTTCCCATCAGGGACCAAAGCCACAGTCTGACCACTGTGGGTGACTATGATGATCTCAGAAAATAAAGACTATTCCCAGAAACCACCTTCTAGGGTGCGTGTTGCCTTTAGGGCCAAATTGTCCAGGCCCATGCAGTATTTGCTACGGAGGACCTGTTGGCAGGGAAGGGGGTTGAGTGTGTGTGTTCCCGTGAGCAGACACCCATAAATGAGGTAACTCAAGGTGGAGGAGCCTGGAGGGGTGGGCTGTGCAGAGATAGCACACAGCCTGGCCTGTCCCCTCCTCCAGGAGTATGGCTCGCCCATCGTGGACCCCACCAATGACATCCGCATCATCGGCGTGGTCACCGTCACTGTTCTGCTGGCCATCTCCCTTGCTGGCATGGAGTGGGAGTCCAAGGTGAGGGCAGGAGGTTGGGGAGGGGACTGGGCAAGGTCAAGTGCAGAAGCCTGAGTCCTGGGACCTGCTCCTGATTCCGCCTCTTGTGTGTATCAGCTGGGTCTTGAGCTCTGCTGCTGTGACAGAGACCCCAAGGAACGGGGCCTCAGGCCAGAGTCTTTTGTTTCTCTCTCGTGTGTGTGGCCCCAGGGTGGGGGTGTGGGGGGCAGGTACCCAGGCTCCTTCCGTCCTGTGGCCTCTCCATCCCTGGGGTGTGGCCTTCATCTGCCTGGCCCATGACGGCCCTCACTTTCATGTCCGCAGCCCAGTCAGCAGCCATTTCCTCCTCCAAGGGCTCTTTGCATCCCAGGGATGGAATCTTGTGTCTCCTGCATTGGCAGGCAGATTTTTCACCACTGCACCGCCAGGGAAGCCCCAGGAAGGGAAAAGGGGGTGAGAAGGAGAAAATCCCTGTCCTCTTTTACTTTTCCGGCCCAGCCTGGCAGTTATACATATTCCTTCTGCTTATATCCCATTGGCCAGAATGCGGTCCGTAGCCACACCGTACTGCAAGGGGGCCTAGGGAAATGTGGGCATCAGCTGAACCTGTGCCCAGCCTCAGATCAGAGGTTCAGCAAGAAACGAGGGAAGAGAGGTCGGGCCTCAGTGGCAGGCTTGGCGAGCACAGCCCTGTATCCCTTCCTCACCTTCCCCCTCTGACCTCCAGCTCCATGTCTCCTCCCAGTTGCTTGAAGGCAGCAAGCTAATGCTCTGGTCTCGCTGCTGCCCCCTTATCCTCCTCCTCAAAAAACCTGAAGACAAATTCCCAGGCCATGCTGCTAAAGGAGCCCCAACCCAGCCCCCGTGACACCCCCATTCATTCTGATTCATCTTCCTTATTTATCTGCAAGACAGGAGCTTGGCTGTATCGCCAGCTCCTAGAACAGAGCCTGCAGCATAATAGGTGTTGACTGAACGAATGAATGAGAGTGAGGGACCTAGGAAGCTCTTCCCCACTGGGGCTCCCTGAGCGGGCAGGGCCAGCCTGTCTGACCTCCAGGCTCCTTTCCTCCCAGGCCCAGGTGCTCTTCTTCCTCGTCATCATGGTCTCGTTTGCCAACTACCTGGTGGGGACGCTGATCCCCCCATCTGAGGAGAAGGCCTCCAAAGGCTTCTTCAGCTACCGAGGTACGTGTAGGTTGGGGCCCCTGCCTGTGGCTCCGGAGACAGAGACGGTCTGCCCCCCCAGTGTGGCCCATTCTGAGGGTGCTGTTACCTAACCAAATTAGTGTCCACTTGCCTGAGTGCAGTAAACCCCATCTACTGACGCCAGGCTGTGGTGATGGAAAGGGCAATGTTCATTGCAGGGCACCAAGCAAAGAGTTCAGGGCAGCTAATGCTTAAAAGACCCAACCTCCCTGAAGGTTTTCAGGGCAAGATTTATAAAGACAGGGAGAGGGAGGGGGCTGTCGGTGTGTAATCAGCTCGAGGACCTTCTCCTGATTGGCTGGTGGTGAGGTGGATCAGGAGTCAGCATCATCAACCTTCTGGTTCCAGCTGGTCTGGGGTCTACATACTTGTGGGCAGCACGCAGCTAACTTCTCCCACCTGGTGGGGGTGTCAGTGGCTGCAAAACAGTTGAAAGGATTTGGCTCAGAGTATTATCTACATCCCTTGTGGCAAAAGAGGAGGTACTCTGTTTAGTGGCTGCATTTTGTCTTGCTTGACTGGTTTCCTTTCTCTCTGCATCTTCTCACTTCTCTGATTAAATTTCTTCTTTGACTAAGGTTTTTTCCCTACCAGACAAAAGGCAGGCAGAGGACAAGGGCAGGGGTCTATACTGGGAAGGCCTCGTAGGATCCTGCTCACTTATATGGGGAGGCATGAGCTGCCACGGGAGCCCCCTGCCTGCCTGGCTGGGCCCAGCAAGGGGTGCCAGACCTCCCAGGAGGTCCTGACTCAGGCCTCATTTTTCCAGCGGACATTTTTGTCCAAAACTTGGTGCCTGAATGGAGAGGCATGGATGGCAGCTTCTTCGGGATGTTTTCCATCTTCTTCCCCTCGGCCACAGGTATCCTGGCAGGAGCCAACATCTCTGGGGACCTCAAGGTGAGCAGGGTGCCCATCCCTCCCACTTCCTGGTCCTTCCTCCCAGGATGTCCTACTGGGCACCGGGCTGGGAATTGAGCCCCCAGGGCCAGAGCTTTTAAACTTCAGCTCAACTCAGTCCAGACCAGCCTAAACCCGTCCCGTTCAGCCCATTCAATTCCAAAGATGTTTACTGGCACCACTGCACACTAGGCCTTGAAGGCCACCCCCAAATGGGCTGGTCTCCTCCGTCGATCCTGGCACTCCCAGCCTAAGGGGAAGACTGAGCCAGCTTGACCTTCCAACACTCAGACGGGATCAGGCATGTCTTTCCCAGGCCCTCCACCATCCTGATGGGGCAGGCTCCTTGTCTTGGCCTGGGAGGCCCCAGCCCCACAGGAACTTTTGCTGTTCCCATGAGCCCCACCCAGCCCTCAGGGTCTACTGCTTCGTCCAGTTCCCCTGTCCCTCCTCCCCACCACTGCCCCTACTGTGCTCTCCGCCTGGGGCTCCTCCTCTTCATTTCTTCACCTTGCAAAGATCTGTCCCTCCTGCAGATTCACACCTCCATCCTGACACCTCTCCCCACCCAGCTGTCAGCATCACGGTTCCCCTAGGATAGGGGTGTCAGGCCACTAACGTCTCTGTCCCCCGCATCTGGAGAGCTGGGGGCTCACCCTGTGCCCGCATTCCCAGCTTCACGTCTGACACGCACTAGGTGCCCGGTGCCTGTCTGTCGAGTGGACAGTGGTGGGATGTGGCAAACGGGAAGTGTAAGAGCAGAAGGCGAGTGTGTAATAAAGTGGGGAAGCCGTGCAGGCTGAGGTGGCAGGAGCTCCTGCAACACTTCTGGGTGGAGGTGGAGCTAGTGCCGGCGGAGTCCTCTCCAGCAGGGGTTAACCAAGGAGCTGGTACACACGTGGGGATGAACCGAGAGGAGCCTGGCTCTGTGCCGGGAACCTTCACCCTCCGCCTCCAGTTCTGCTTGAAAGTGCTCCCTGATCACGTTCTTGAATGAATTAAGAATCGTGCGTTGGAGGCATTCTCAAACACAGCCTGGCTCTGGAATTCAGAGGGAGGCTGTCTTTGCCAGTTCCCCTCCCTTTTCTGGGCAGCGGCCAGCAGGGGCTTGGTCTGCCTGTCCTGAGGTCCTGGCAGAGCTCAGGCATGGGCTCAGGTGGCCTGGTTCCCCCTCCCAGCCCCGTCGTAGAAAATCATAGCCTGGGGATTTATCTAGACGCTTCATCAAGCTTCTTAGATTACTGACCAGCCCAGTGTGCAGGCGTCAGGGCCCAGCAGCTGTTCCAGAGCTGGGGGTGGAGAGGTGACTTCTTCAAGTCCTAAAGGGGCCCCTTCCTCCTGGCTCTGGCTCCTTGCCCATTCCGTGGGACAGCACGTCCTTAGCAAAGAGTAGTCCTGTTCGTGGAGGCTGTATGCAAGTCCCTTAAAACCTCTCTGGGCCTCAGCTTCCCCAGCTGTAAAATGGGACTCACGCAGCCATGTATTCACAGGGCAGGAAGGGTTCAGCGTGCTGATTTACATAAGCTACTAGCACGGTGCCCAGCCCAGAAGAGGTGCCAAGGGCTAGTAGTGAAAGTCAGTGTCATTTTGTGGCCGGCACAATGCCTCCTTCTTTTTTTTTTAATTAACTTATTTATTTGACTGTGCCAGGCCTTAGTTGAGGCATGTGGGATCTAGATTCCTGACCAAGGATCAATCCCAGGCTCCCTGCATTAGGAGTTTGGAGTCTTAGCCACTGGATCACCAGGGAAGTCCCGGTGCCTCCTTCTTTACAAATAATATCCTTGGTGCCACCATAGTCTTCTACCATCACTGTCCCCCCATTACAGAGGAGCAAGTGGAGGCTGTATGCAAGTCCCTTAAAACCTCTCTGGGCCTCAGCTTCCCCAGCTGTAAAATGGGACTCACGCAGCCGTGTATTCACAGGGCAGGAAGGGTTCAGCGTGCTGATTTACATAAGCTGCTAGCACGGTGCCCAGCCCAGAAGAGATGCCAAGGGCTAGTAGTGAAGGTCAGTGTCATTTTGTGGCCGGCACAATGCCTCCTTCTTTTTTTTTAAATTAACTTATTTATTTGACTGTGCCAGGCCTTAGTTGAGGCATGTGGGATCTAGATTCCTGACCAAGGATCAATCCTAGGCTCCCTGCATTAGGAGTTTGGAGTCTTAGCCACTGGACCACCAGGGAAGTCCCGGTGCCTCCTTCTTTACAAATAATATCCTTGGTGCCACCATAGTCTTCTACCATCACTGTCCCCCCATTACAGAGGAGCAGACCCAGTTCTGAGAGGGTCGGGGGCTTGCCCAGGGCCCCGCACATAGGGGTCAGGGGAGCTGGAATGCCAAGTTTCTAGAATACCGAAGGCTCAACTTCATTACAACTTCATCACTCAACCAGTATTTTTTGAGCACCTGCTTTGATGCCAGGGTCTTGTCGACAGTAAGCAAGCAGCAGTAAATAAAAAACACAGATTCCTACCCTCATGGAGCTCACGTGCCTCGTGGGAGAGACAATCGGCAAACAAATAAGTAAAACGTGTAGTTTGCCTGATGGTGGCTGAGTGATGAGGAGAGAAATCAGGCAGAGAAGCAGGGAGGGAATCCCTAGGACGGCGGTGGGGCTAAGGTGGCCAGAGACCCCTGAGAAGGTGACATGTGAGCCGAGCCCTAAAGTGGTGATGACAAAGTTGTCATTGTCTCCATTCACCCCGTACGCCCCCCAACCCTTTAGTGCTTACAGAGCAGTCTCATGACCACAGTCTCAGGGAGGTTTCCTTTTCACAACCACCCTGTGCTAAGGCCAAGGAAAGAATTATTATGAAGTCAATTTTCTGATGGGGAGATGGGGACCAAGACGAGGGACTTCGTAGTGACTGCCGTGGGATCTGTGCCAGGCTGGGTGACCACACAGCTCACACCTAACCACTCACATTGGTGAGCTTGCTTGTGCCCTTGCTAATGTGCCAGCCTACTCTCTCATTTCACAGGTGAGGAGGGAGGGCTGCTGAGGCTCAGAGAGGTTAAGGGACTGGTCTCAAGGCACACAGCCAGCGAGAGCTTGGCAGGATGTGGACCCAGATATTCCTGATCTGTGAGCTGGGCTCTGAGATTTCAGACCAAGACGTGAGGGCGGGGTGGAGGCCTAGGGTATTCACATCCCGTGGCTGCTATAATGCATTACCACCCACTTAGAGACTGACGACAGTGGAAATTTATTCTCACACAGTTCTAGGAGCCAGAAGTCCAAACAACGGTGTCTGTAGAGTCTGTGCTCCTCTGAAGGCTCTAGGCAAGAATCCTTCCCTGCTTCTTCCACCTTCTTTTGTCGTTCAGTCATTCAGTTGTGTCTGACTCTCTTTGACCCTGTGGACGGCAGCACAAGAAGCTTCCCTGTTCTTCACCATCTCCCGGACTTTGCTCAAACTCATGTCCATTGAGTCCGTGATACCATCCAACTATCTTGTCCCCTGTCATCCCCTTCTCCTGCCTTCAATCTTTCCCAGTTTCTGGAGGCTTCCAACAATCCCGGGGGTTGCTTGACTTATAGCTGCCTCCCTCCACTTCAGCCTCTGTCCTCACACAGCCTTCTTTCCTCTGCATGTCTCTCCTCCTCCTACAAGGACCCAGTCATTGGACGCAGGACCCACCTCATTCCATATGACCTCATCTTAACTAATTGCATTTGCAAAGATTCTATTTCCAAATAAGGCCCTGTTCTAAGGTTCTAGATAAACGTGAATTTTTGGAGACACTATTCATCCCATCACAGGTGAGATGGGCCGTTGACCTGGTCTGTTGGCCTTGGGCCCAGGGACCCTGTGTGCTTGACCTAGCGAGCCCTCCTGGTTCTCAGGGCAGGGCTGGCTGGACCACGGCTGAAGAGCAGAGACCTCAGAAATAGGATGCTCCAGAGACGCCAGCCTCCCTCAGCTCGGCATCTGTACTCCCTCTTCTCTCTGGCCTGCACCTCCTTCCTCCCCACCCAGCGCCTTCAGAGTCACCTCAGTCGTCCCCTCCACCATGAGGCCTTCCGGGGTTCTGGCAGTGTCTCCCCCGCCTTGCCCCCCAGCACACCGCGGTCCTCCCTGTGGTGGGCACACCATCTGCCCTGTGTGGGCAGGATCCCACCTGTACCTCCTCCCTTGGGCCAGGCCTCAGGCCTCCTCATCACAGAGTGACCATGGCTTCCATCTCAGGCCACCCAGTGTTTGAGGCAGAGAGCCGGACCATGGCCAGCTTTGTTTTGACTTGTCCATGAACTTGAACAGTGTCTCAGTCCCTCCAAGTTCTGTCACCTCTGATGCTTTCTGCATCTGCCAGCTGAGTGGCGAGCAGAATGGCCCAGGGAAGGCAGGCAGGTTTACCAGTTGACTTCCCATGGCTGACGTGGCCTTCCCCTCCAGGCTGGGGCCCATACCTGGACCAGAAATTTACTGTAAAACCCCCAGACTATATCCCTCCACCCAGGACCAGTGACCCCCGGGGGCGGGTCTGAGGCTGTGGACCTCGACATGTCAGGGCTGAGCTGCTTAAGGCTCTGCGAACTGGGCCCTCCTCCTGGCTCCCTGGCCTCAGTTTCCCTACCAGCCACCTCTCAGGAAGCTATGCTTGAAGAAGCACCCGGAAGAGTGAAGCACATGATGTGGCTGTGAAGGTCTGCTGTTACTGCCAGGAAAGCCCCAGCAGAGTTCTTTGTCCGAGAGGAAGCAGGGAGTTGGGAACTGGTCTATATATTCCTGGCTGTGTAATCAAATCACTTGATGCGTAATGGGGATTACATGCTGCAAACGCAACTGATGAGCTGGGCCCTGGTCTAGGAGCTTGACAAGTTTGGATTTGTTTCGCCAGCATCCCTGTGAGGCTGGAGGGCCCGAGGGGTGGGAGGACAGGCACGCTGCCCGGTGATCACCTGAATCTGACCGCAGGCGGGGTGACTCAGGGGGCTTCCCAGGTGGCTCAGTCATAAAAATCTGCCTGCCAGTGAGGAGATGAGGGAACCACGAGCTCAATCCCTGGCTCAGAAAGATCCCCTGGAGAAGGAAATGGCAACCCACTCCAGTATTCTTGCCTGGAGAATCCCATGGACAAAGGAGCCTGGCCGTAGTCCATGGGGTCGCACAGCGTCAGAGCTGAGCACTCACGCAGGCACGCAGGCTGATTCAGGAGCCCTCCACCTTGCTGCCCCCAGAGCAAGCACTGGCCAGGTGCCCTCAGGGACCAGAGGAACTGCTAGGGGCTCCTCTCCCTGCCTCCGGCTCCCTGGGTGTGGTCTCAGCCACCACCTTCATTCTGTCCTGTCCCCCTCTGTGGATGCTCAGTCTCTAGGTGCCCCTGGGAAGGGGCTCTGAAGGGCCAAGGTCAGGGGTGGCTGCCCCACCCTCAGCCCGACAAGGGCAGAGCCTGGGAGGGGCTACCTGACCCCCACCCCCTCCCTCCTCCAGGACCCTGCCGTAGCCATCCCCAAGGGCACGCTCATGGCCATTTTCTGGACCACCGTCTCCTACCTGGCCATCTCAGCCACCATCGGTAAGCCTCCGGCCCAGAGCCCTGGAGGGGTCCCAGGGTGCAGTCGGCTCTCTAACAGGGAGGGCTGGGCCGGGAGGACATGGCACCACCAGGACGTGGAGCCGTGAATTTTATTGGGTGGGGCACCGTGGTGGCAACCAGAACATCTATGTTGGGAGGTAGTTTGTAGTGGAGATGGGGGGAGTCAGACGAGGCTCCTCTGATCCTTCCAAACCTCAGGTTACAGATGCAAGCATGTAAAATCCTGTAGGAAAAATCAAGCTCCAACTCTAGGAATGATAATAAAAACAGTGATGCTGAGGACAAAGAAGATGATTCTAGCAACTGACTTATTATTACGGGCTCAGTCCTTTACATGCCTTATTACATTTAATCTAGGCACTGGTCATTTCTGCCTTTTGATGGAGGAGAAAGCAAGGGCTCAGAGAGGTCAAGTGACCTGCCCAAGGTCACACAGCCTGAGTGGTAGAGGAGGGCTTTGGACCCAGGTCTGGGCTGCTGACACTCACCTCTCACTGAGACCCTCACACACACTCCTGCTCTCAGTAACCCCCTTGTGAGGTGAGCTGCTCACAGATAGATGGCCAAGGGACATGGCCCAGTCATGGCCACTCACGGCCTGAGAGTCAGGTCTCCATTATAAGGAGGACACTATGACCTTGGGTCACTTAGGCTCCCTCTGCCTCTATAGAATGGCAACAGCAACAAAAATAATAGAAATACCTGCTTCCCAGGAGTGTTTAACGTGCTTAACACAGGGCCTGGCACGTCAAAAGTGCTCTTGCATAGAGCTAAAATGATTATCATCATTATTATTACAAAGCAAAGGAAGAACTGGCCCAGCAGCGGCATCTCGCCCTCTGCAGACGTGACCAGCATTTTCCGGGTGGGAGGGGAGGAGGGAGGAGAGGATGGAGGAGGGGAGGGAGCCCACCCCACGCCCACCCCACGCCCACCCCACGCCCTCCTTCCTCCCCAGGCTCCTGTGTGGTTCGAGATGCCTCCGGGGGGCTAAATGACACGGTGACCCCCGGCTCAGGCACGTGCGAGGGGCTGGCCTGTGGCTACGGCTGGAACTTCACCGAGTGCAGCCAGCGCCACAGCTGCCGCTACGGCCTCATCAACTACTACCAGGCACGTGCGGCCCCGCCAGCGGCCGGGAGGGCCGGGTGGAGGCTGGGATGGGCTGGAGAAGGCAAGGTTGGGGGGATGGTCCCCGGTTTGGGGAAAGAGCTTCAGACAGGGGCTCCAGGCCCAGTTCCTGACCCAGCAGGCACTGGGTCACCAGCGAGGGTTGCAGGTTCAGGTAGAAGCTTCCAGACCAAGTCCCTGCTTGCCGTGGGGACTAGGGTGACCCCGGTGGGGGCTCTGGGCCCAGCCCCTCACCTCGGCGGCCCGAACCCCATGTCCCTGCAGACTATGAGCATGGTATCAGGCTTCGCACCCCTGATCACAGCCGGCATCTTTGGGGCCACCCTCTCCTCTGCCCTGGCCTGTCTCGTCTCTGCCGCCAAAGTCTTCCAGGTGAGGCCGCAGGAGTGGGCGGGAGGGTCTGGGAGGCCAGGTGACCTCCAGAGGCTGGAGGAGTTGTGTGACCTGGTGTCTAGATGGGAGGGAAAGGAGCTGGAAAAGCGAAGGCCTGCAGAAGCAGCCCCCTCGCCACGCTGAGCTTTGAAGAGCACCCACCTTTCCCACCCCGCACCCTCCCTGCACTGGCGCCCCGTCTGCAGCCCACAGCGACTGATTGCTCCTCGGGAGCTGGTACAAGCAGCTAGGTCACTGTCTCTGTAGGTGCAGAAGCTACACCAACCTCATTTCTCAGACCTTGAGCTACTGGGTCCCTTGGGGTCTGAGACAGGGGATGCTCTTGAAGAAAGATCCCAGTTAATCAGTTAGCTAGATTGACCTCTGTCCTGGCTTTGCCATGTGCCGGCTGTGTGACCTTGCACCCCTGATCACAGCTGGCATCCTTGGGGCCACCCTCTCCTCTGCCCTGGCCTGTCTCGTCTTCACCTCCCAGACCCTCAGTTTCTTTGTCTGCAAAATGGGAGCAACAATGAATAGAGGGTGTGTCACTGAAGGGCAGGAAGAGACCATGTATGTACACACACACACATGCATTCCTATATGCACATACTCATGTATGCCCACTCCCCAGTACTTTCTGATTTACTTAGCCAACAAGGCAGAACTTGCTAGGAGAGAGCACTAGGAGAGAGGTGACTCGACCAAGCAAGGGCAGTGGCCATGAAGACCCCTCGCCCTGCTCCCGATGCAGGAATGGGGCGGGGTCAGTGACCCGTGAACCTCCCCTCACTGGGGGTCACCTTCCTGCCAGAGCTGAACCCCTGCGACTTAGGCCAGCACCGCCAACCCAGGAGACGTAGCCTAATGGTCTAGCCCCACTTCCACCCGAGGGCAACTTTCCAGACTGGGTCCTACACCAGATGAAGAGGCAGGAGGGCCACACCCAGGGGGTGGAAACACCTGGTCAGGCCCGGTGTCCCTGGATGTTGCCACATGTTTCCTGCTCTCCCTGCCGTCCACCCCCTCCTCCAATTTGATGCCCTTTCATCTGGGTGGTTCTGACCTGGACCTCAGATGGAGAGCAGTGATCTCAGATGCTCTTGGGCAGGTTCTTGTGCTGATTCAATGGACTCGTGTACAGAAGACCTGGCGCATAGAGGTGCTCGTCTTGTTTGGGGATCGTGAAGAAGCAGGCCCCGAGACAAGGATTCATGTGCATAAGTGTACTGGGGTGCCAGAGCAGGGGGCTCGTGAGACAGGGAAAGGCAGGAGTCAGTTCTTGAGCAGGTTTCCACTGTGGATGGAACTGTGATATGGTCTCAAGGTTTCAGATAACAGATGGCATGGGTCGCATTGTAAGATGTATTTTTTTTTATAATTTGTGGTTACAAAAAGGAGTGACAGTCACTGTCCTGGGTCATTCTGTCACCTGACAGAATCTACCCTCACATTGCTCTCCATCCTCCATAGAGCTGACACTTTACAGCTTACGAAACAATGGGCTTGAAGATGGGCCCTTTTCACAGATGAGAAAGCTGAGACTCCCTGAGCCTCGGTGGCCCGTCTGGCATTCCCGTACCCTGAGAGGGAGGGTTCCGGGCACTCTGTGATGGAGCTGCCCAACAGACTGTCTCCCCTCTCCCTTGGGTCCCTGAAGCTGAGCTCAACACCATCGCCCCCATCATCTCCAACTTCTTCCTCTGCTCCTACGCCCTCATCAACTTCAGCTGCTTCCACGCCTCCATCACCAACTCGCCCGGTAAGCAAGGCCCTCATCTCTCCGTGGGAGGTGACACTTGTGGCTGGGGCATGGAGGTGGGGCATGGAAGACATGGGTGCCGGTGGGCAGACCAAGGTCCCCTCTCAAACTGAAGTCAATTAAAGGTAACATTTCAATAATAATAATAATAACAGCTATCCTTTAGCAGGCACTTACAATGTACACTCTACATAGATTCATACACTGTTCACAGTGTGCAGAGACCTTTCTCGTGCCTTTCTCCCCCAGATCTAAGGGAGTCAAGGAACCTGATTCCCCAGAGAGAGAAGAAAATCACCAGTCACAGAGTGGCCGCCGGTTGCACCTGCCCAAATCCAGGGGGCGCCACTCATGACATCATAGATTTATATGTTTATTATGAATACTTTCTGGTAGATGCTAACAAAGAGTCTTCCAGGAAGACTTTTCCCAACTGGCCCCAAACTGCCGATAAGCTGTCCCTGGGCCACATTTTCCCCAGGCCGTGAACCACGGTGCCTAGAGTTGTAGCATGGGGTGGCTGTCGCTAGTGGTGGCCCTGGCATGGCTGCAGGTGTAGGCCATGCAGAATCAACTCCTTCCCCTCCATCTCACCCCCTCGGCTCTGTGCGAGCCCCAGAAGCCAGCACTGTTGCTGACGCTGGCTGTCCTGTGGGCGTATTTGGCCAGAGCCGGATGCCTGCCCTTTGGTACATGGGGCCCATGCCTATTCACATGGGGGGATGCCAGCCAAGGCAGGCGTGTGGCCTTATCAGTGTTTCCAAGGCCAACCCCAGGAAGCGAGATGGGTGGGCAAAGGCCGCGACCCAGGCTCTGGGCACTGTGGGCATTGCCACCCCGACTCTGCCCAGCTGTGATGGCTCAGAGGGAGACTCCAGAGTGTTGAGCCCTGTGCCCCCCACCAGGGTGGAGACCCTCGTTCCGATACTACAGCAAGTGGGCAGCGCTGTTTGGGGCGATCATCTCCGTGGTCATCATGTTCCTGCTCACCTGGTGGGCGGCCCTCATCGCCATCGGTGTGGTCCTCTTCCTCCTGCTCTATGTGATCTACAAGAAGCCAGGTGTGTGTCTCAGGCAGCCCCGGGGGGGTGGGGAGGAGAGTTTGGCGTGCCCTTCTCGCCCTGAGGCTGCCAAGCTGGCCAGCCCGTCAGCTCAGCCAGAGGGTCTGTCTCAGACTCTGTACTCCCAAGGGCTCCCTCTGGTCCTCCAGCCTCATCCCTCCCCACGGGATAAGGAGCCCCCGGGAAGTGTGCCCACTCAGAGCCCACACCTCTACTTCTAGACCACCCCCTGCCGGACACCCAGGACCTGGAATTGCCTGCTCAGGTCCAACCTCCTGAGAGTGGCCAGCCTGCTGGTGTGCGTACCAGACCAGGGGCTGCCTGATAGAAAGGCAGGCAGTCAGAGCCTGGATGCAGGGGCAGGGGTGTCTACACGCAAGCAGGCAAGGATCCTAGGAGACAGCCCTCTGGGGTTGAGATAAGAACTCCAGGAAAGCCTAGAACTCTCAAGTTGAACTTGGCCTTCCAGGTCGTTGTGAAGGTCTGTTTGTCAAGGGAGGAGAATAGTTTGTAGAGTTCGATAGCTTGATGTATGTATGTAGCCGTATTGTAAGTGCAAAGGTTAGGAACAGAACTACAGGCTGGCTACTGCTCCCACGGGTGTTTGGTTCCTAAAGGTCAACGCTCCCTCCCTCATACTTAATGTCTGGTTTCTCCCGTGATGTCTAACCTCAGAGGTGAACTGGGGCTCCTCGGTACAGGCGGGCTCCTACAACCTGGCCCTGAGCTACTCTGTGGGTCTCAACGAGGTGGAGGACCACATCAAGAACTACCGGTGAGCACAGCCTTGGGGTGCCTGGGGTGCAGGGCTGGCCTGACCCTGCTCTGGAGATCCCCAGCCAAGCCTGACACCTGACCAGCAGACCCAGGCTGGGCATGGCCCCTTCTCGAAGAGGGAGCAGGGTGGGGAGGCATCTCCCAGAGTCAGGAGACCAGAGTAGACACGGCCCAGTGGGACCCAGGCAAGTCTAGTGGCCTGTCTGTACCTAAGTTTCCACAATGGAATATATCTGCGATACACACACAGACAACACAGACATCCCTCCGTGTCCACTGGTGACTGGGTCCAGCCCCATCTCCCCATCCCCTGCCCAGATACCAATGTCCTCAGATGCTGAAGTCCCTTATGTAAAAAGCCTAGTACATTTGGCCCTTGCTGTCCACGGTCCCACATCCAGATTCAATCTCCATGCTTGATTTTTTAAAAATATTTATTTATTTGGCCACACTGGGTCTTATTTGGAGCACGTGGGATCTTTGATCTTCATTACAGAATCTTGAGTAGCAGCATGTGGTATCTAGCTCCCCAACCAGGGGTGGACCCAGGCCCCTGCATTAGGAGTGCAGAGTCTTAGCCCCTGGACCACCAGGGAAGTCCCCGCCACACTTGGTTGAACCTGCAGATGTAGCACCTATAGACCCCAAGGGCCACCTGTGTTCGTAAGCTTGCTCTGATGTTATAATTCGTGAGGCTGACTGTGCTGAGCCTCTTCCAAGTAGTCTTCGAAGCTGATTCCCCTCCTAAGTGAGGAAAATTGTGCCTCCAGGATCCATTTCCCAACAGATCACAATGTTAATAATCGGATGTATCTAGGTGTCAATCCTGTGCAAGGTGACCGACACAGCATCGGCACAACCCTCTGAGGTATATGAAACTGCTAACCCCATTCACAGTTGAGAACACTGAGGCAAGGAGAGGCCAGTTGGTAACTGGCCCCAACTCACACAGCTGGTGAATGGCCAGTTTTGTCTGGTTCCAACTGAGTCTGGTAGTGACCCTTGACTGTGAGCCTTGGCTGCCCCTTCTATCCGGTAACGCAGTGATCTCGTAAGTGAGGGACCTGCCCACTTGCAGTCTTGATTCTGTTCACACCATGCTGTGCTGAGTGGAGCAGGGGCTCTAGGTGGAGCAGCTGAAGGGAGATTCGCCCCAGCGGAGCATGTGGTGGCCTGAACAGGAGGAACAAGGGACACCCAGTGTGGTGGCTGGCCAGAGAGAGAGCTGGAAAGGAGTCAGGACGGGAGGACCAGGGGGTGGTTCCTCTGTCTAAGAAGGGAGTCCTGGAGCTGGGGCAACTCCTGGAGTGACTTGATTTGGCATCCACACCCCCAACTCTGTCCTAACAGCTCTTTTCCCTTCCCCTCCTCAGCCCCCAGTGCCTGGTGCTCACGGGGCCCCCCAACTTCCGCCCGGCCCTGGTGGACTTTGTGGGCACCTTCACCCGGAACCTCAGCCTGATGATCTGCGGCCACGTGCTCATGGTGAGTGTCCCCTGCAGGTAGGGCGGGGCTGTCCTCCTGGAGGAGCCTCTGGGCACCGGGTCCACCCCCGAGGCTGGGAGTGGGATGGGGTGAGGTAGGGGCCAGAGGAGGGGCTGTGGAGCCTGGACAGGTTCTCTCCCTTTCCCTGTCCCTCTCACTGGCTTCTCCCCACTGCCCTGCCTCTCACCTGCTCCCTCCATCTTCTTCCTAGCCTTCCCCCTCCCAGTGAAAAAGTGAAAGTCGCTCAGTCACGTCCAACTCTTTGTGAGACTCTTTGCGACCCCATGGACTATATTCTTTAGGCCAGAATACTGGAGTGGGTAGCCTTCCCCTTCTCCAGGGATCTTCCCAACCCGGGAATCGAACCCAGGTCTCCCACATTGCAGGAGGATTCTTTACCAGCTGAGCCTCCAGGAAAGCCCTCCTCCTCCTCTTTTTCCCCCCAATTCCATAAAGGAAACCGGCAGTGAGCCCAGCGGACAACCTCCAGGGCAAGAGAGGAGCTGTGTCTCAGGTCAGAGGGTAAAGGCCACCCCTGAGGTCACGCGTCCCTGCCACCCACAGGGCGCCCGCAAACAGAGGATGCCTGAGCTCCGGCTCATCGCCAGCGGGCACACCAAGTGGCTGAACAAGAGGAAGATCAAGGCCTTCTACTCCGACGTCCTCGCCGAGGACCTGCGCAGTGGCGTCCAGGTTCTCATGCAGGTGGGCGGGCCTGGGGCTTCCCCACAGGCCTTACCACTCGGTGTGACAACCTGGAAGTGGGATGCCCTGGTGGGCTAGCTGAAGCCCCTTTAGCTGCGATGGGAGTCCCACCTTTCTCCCCCACTCTGGATGTGCTGATTCAGGGCACTGTCTCCAAGTGCCCAGGCCCCCAGGGACACTGCCGTGGAGACCTGTGGGAGCTGATGACACAGTTTGTGGTCTGGGGACTTTTTAATGATATAATCTACAGAGAGCAAAGTGAAATAGTGTAGAGTTTGATATATGTTTACATATGCAGACTCCACTCAGTGCTATGAAACCACCACTCGGGTCAAGTTCTAGAACGTTCCACCCGGCAATTCATTTTATTGCTCAGTTTTCTTATTTGTAAAGTGGGATGCATGGGAAGCTGTTAATTCTGACTCAACATAGGGGACTCCTTTTCAATAGTTTTCAGTATTTCTCAAAATTAAAAAAGAGCATACAAGGTCTCCTATTGGGATTATAAAAATACTTGGAGCAAAGGTAGAAGTTATGATTGTGTGATATTTTAAATGTGCTAAATGCCACTGAATTATACACTTTTAAATGGGTGCTTTTATGTTATGTAAACTTTACCTCAAAAATTAAAAAAAATTTAACATTAAAAAAAAGAGAAATATAAAAGATGTATGGATTAGGTGACCCAGGAATACTCCAAATTTGACATCCAAATTCAAGTCCCCTGTTATAGGAAATAATTCCATAAAGGAACAGTAGCTGGGATGATCCAGAACTAATGGGACAGTCCAGCTGTTGGCCCTTGCTTGAAGAGGCCTCAGCGAAAAACTCTGACTGTAGCTTCACCTTTCTCATGGGTGTATCCAGGCAGCCAGGACCTTGAACTGAGGGATATATCTCCTGAGCCCCCACCCCATGGCAGAGAGGGAAACTGGGCTGAGACCAGGCCCCACCCTGGTCACAGAACAGAGCCCCATGGGGCTATGGCCTGACCCCCTCACGTCATCCCCACCCCCCGGCAGGCTGCAGGTCTCGGGAGGATGAAGCCCAACATTCTGGTGGTCGGGTTCAAGAAGAACTGGCAGTCGGCTCACCCAGCCACGGTGGAGGACTACATTGGCATCCTGCAGTGAGTGAGGTCACCAAGCGGGACAGGGCCTGAGGTCTCTTGACTTGGGCCTTTGGCATCTCCTGGGCCTTGGGAAATAGAGGGGAAGCAGTGGACCCTGTAAGAAGCTGAGTCCACTGCTTCAAAACTGAGGAAGAAAAAGACTGAGGGTTCCCCACTCTCCCCTGTGAGTCATAGACACCCAGACTGGCAGGGGACAGGCAAGTAACAGAGTGAAGTGGGCCAGGTGTGGGGCGTTAGGGAACGGTGGGGACTGTGGCCAATGGAGGAGAACAGGTGTTCTCTAGCTCTAGCTAATCGCACCCAGGCAGAAAGGAGGACCCAGCGTTGCCGAATCTAGTTTGTCAGAGAAGTAAAAAATGTGAGTTTTTAGGTGAAAATCGTGTGCTTACCTGGGGGCTGCAGAAGACCTGCAAATGCCCAGCTCTCAAGCTGTGAGGTGGTACCACCGAAACCAGGCCTCCGAGGAGGTGACAAACTGGGGAATGGGACCAAGGGATAAACTCCCTGGGGATTTCAGGGTTAACTCCAAACCCTTTCTCTTTCATTTCTTGCTGTGCAAAGTCCAGAAAATGCCTGCCTGAGCTGCTTTTCTGCCTTGATGGGGTATAGAGAGGCAGTGTGCTGGAGCATTTAACAAACATGAGGCTGAGTGTTGGGACCTGGGCCTGGCTTCCAGTTCTGCTGTGAACCAGTATGACTGAGCAGTGCGTCTCACTGCCTCTAGCAAAATTACAACAGGAGGCAGTGCATACCTGCTCTGTAGGAACCCCCAGCTTCAATATGCCAAAACTCTGAACTGCTGAAGCCTAAAGGGCCCCGTCCCAGAGATTTGTGATTAGAGTTCAGAGAGGGCAGTGGTAAGCCTAGTAGATTAACCCTACTGGTGGGCTCTTGGGCACTGTGTTAACCAGAGAGTAAACATACTTGTGGGGTGGGAGTCTTCCAGACATTCCACACAGACAGCCCATTGCTGTCTTCATGAGCGAGGCCATTCCTGTGTGCATGTCCATCCTCAGCTATTTAATTCTGATCTGAACTGGCCACTTCTTAGTGTGTGATCATAGATAAGATACTCCCTAAAACTTAGATTTTGCATCTGTCAAACGGGGGTAGCAATTCCCATCCCCACCTCTGTTGGTAGAGTTGTGAAGATTAGCCATGTGTGATGCTTTCAAACTGTGGTGCTGGAGAAGACTCTTGAGAGTCGCTTGGGCTACAAGGAGAACAAACCAGTCAACAATAAAGGAAATCAACCCTAAATATTCATTGGAAGGACTGGTGCTGAAGTTGAAATTCTAATACTTTGGCTACCTGATGCGAAGAACTGACTCATTGGAAAAGACCCTGATGCTGGGAAAGATTGAAGGCAGGAAGAGAAGGGGGTGACAGAGGATGAGATGGCTGGATGGCATCACCAACTCAATAGACATGAGTTTGAGTAAACTCCAGGAGATAGTGAAGGATAGGGAAGCCTGGCATGCTACAGTCTAGTTCATGGGGTTGAGAGTCGGGCACTACTTAGCAAGAATCAGGAGGACAGGGCTGGTTCCAAGACTGATCTAACTCAGTTTCCCCCAGGAGGGTCTGCAGGATCCACAGTGTCTCAGACAGTAGAGCTAGAGGGGTCCTGGCCACCTCTCCAGTCCTGCCTGCCCATCTGTATAATACAGATGGGAGACTGAGGCCCAGAGAGGAGAAGAGTATGGTGGGAGGCAGGGTCAGCTCTAGACTGGCCTCCTGGGGTCTGGGGACTGGGGGCTGGAGGCGGGGCCAAGAGCAGATTGACCCCATGACCTCTCTCTCCAGCGACGCTTTTGATTTCAACTACGGTGTATGTGTCATGAGGATGCGGGAGGGCCTCAACATCTCGGAGGTGATGCAGGCACACAGTGAGTACCCCCGACCTTCTTGACACCCCCGACAAAGACAGAACCGGATCCCAGGAAATTATAGAACCCATTTTTTTCCCTAAGTAGTTCAAGGAAGACAGGGGGAATTAGTAAGGAATAAAAGGTCACAGACTCCTAGAAAGTCAGTTTTTGATGGAAATCATCAGATTTCTAAATGGAGAAACTGAGGTCCTGAAAGGGGATGTGACTACTTCAAGGCCTTGCTTGACTGGACCACAGCTCCCCAAATCACCATGAGAGCTTTCGTAACCAGATGGGATAAAGAGAAGCTAATAGACAGGAGAGAGAAAAAGACGGGGGAGGACAGCCACATGGAGACTCCAGAGCATGAAAACACACACAGAAAGGCCGTGAAAGCTGGGGCATAGAGTAGGGATACGTGCTACATTTAAGGTCACATGTAAACAGATCTGAATTAGTTGTTTTTAGAAGCGTGATAGCAATAACACATATGAAGACAAATGGGGACCAGAGGGGTAGGGGGGCTGATGCGATGGAGAGAAGAGGGGAGGCTGCAGGCCAGCCCAAGTCTTGTTCACCCAGGTCACCGAGCGCTGAGGGCATGCCTGGCAGCTGGTAGTTCAGTGAATATTTACGCAACCAGAATTTACAGAGCTGCAGCCACACTCCTGACCGGGGTGGCTCTAGGCCCTGGGCTTTCAGCAGGGAACAAAACCAAGTCTGCCCTGGAGGAGCTGACATTCTGGGGGAAATGCGGTGGACCCAGGACTCATTGCAGGCAATGACAGCTCATGAAGTGTCCTGAGGAGGCCCACACAGAGGGGCACGCAGGCAGAAGGGCCTCTCTGAGGAGGGGGCTTATTTCTAGAAGGGGAGGGCTGGGGAAAGAGGGCGCTTGGCTCTGGGACCACCCACCCACCGCTGAGGCCTGGTGGGAAGGAGCATGGCTTGTTTGAGCAGACAGGAAGCTGGTCGGGGTGGGGGGGCGGGGTGCAGGGAGCGTGCAAGGAGGCAGAGACCAGCTGTGGAGTCAGGACCTTCCCCCAAGGTAAGAGGGCCCCTGGAGAAGCCTGGGAACGAAGCTCCCCCTCTTTTCCAGTTAACCCTGTGTTTGACCCAGCAGAGGACAGCAAGGAAGCCAGAGCCGGCGGGGCCCAGCTGTCTGTCTCTGGCACAGGTCAGTCCCCCGCCCCAACTCAGAGGCGCAGGGCGCTCTCACCCTGGGGGGCTCTGTGGGATGGGCCACGGGGGAACTTGGCCAAGGGCAGGAGGTTTTTGTCTGTGACAGTGGGGCCTGAGACCCCTAGGACTGGGTCACAGGGAGTTGGTAGGACAGTGGGGCTGGGGGCAAGATGAAGATTGCCAGCCCTGCTGGAGAATTCAGGGTCCAGGCATCGTGGGACCCCATCTAGTAGGCTCTGGGGCCTGAGTCCTGCCCCTCCAAGGGCCCCCTGGTCATGCTCCGACGGGGAGGGGCAGCAACACTCTGGGAGGCGGGATACGCTCAGTGCAGGGGCTGGGAGCGTCCTGTGGGCATTTGTGAGGGGCACAGGGGGGTTTTTAAGAGAATGGTCCCACCCCCCGGTGCCAACCAGAATCCAGGGAGAGAGAAGCTGGGAGCAAGAGGAGGAGCACATCCCAGCACTGCTTGTCCGGGGTCCCCGCCCCGGGAGTCTCCCACAGGAGGGCCCATTGGTGGTGCTCCGGCCAGTCTCCAGCGCGCACACAGCAAGGGCGTCCGGCCACCGTGAGCACAAACCCACGATGTGTTCTCAGACAGACTCAGGCGTTCCCATGTGCTCTGCACCCACATGACCTGCCCCTCTGCTCCTGCAGTGGACCCCGAGGCCTTGGTGCAGGAGGAGCAGGCCAGCACCGTCTTCCAGTCGGAGCAGGGCAAGAAGACCATCGACATCTACTGGCTGTTCGACGACGGAGGTCAGCGCCCCGGACGCCAGCTCTCCCCTGGCTGACCTCCTCTCTCGGCCTCCCTTGCTGGCCGCTGATGACAAAGCCAGTGGTGGGACCTCAGGGCCCAGCTAAGAGGAATGGGGGCCCTAGGCCCACCACTGGGCTCACGGGAGCCTGGCCAGGTCCCTCTTGTGGCCCTCTGTTTTCAGCTGTAAAATAAGGGACTTAAAGCAGCAGGTGAGGTCAGCGTGAGGAGGGTCCTTCAGACTGGACAGGCCATCGGGGTCACGGGCTCGTGACATAAGTGGGAGAGATGAGCCGGAGCGCAGGAAAGCTGTAGGCATATTCATCACTTACCAAAGAAAAACGCATTCTCTCGTTTTTCTTGTGACTCAGCTTTATTGTTCCCACCCTTGATAGAGTCCTAGATACAGAGAAGATATTCTGAGCACTTACTATATGCTTGACGCCAAGGGTTTGCATAGGTTAACCTAATGCAGTCCCCAGGTGGAAACGATTATTAACTCCCCTTACAAATAAGGAAACTGAGGCACAGAGAAGTCACGTGTGGATCATACAGTGATAAATGTCAGTGATCTAGATTTGCATGTGAAATCCCCCCCAGGTGCCAGCTCATGTATTTAAAAGCCTTGTGCACGGGAATTCCCTGGTGGGCACTTCCACTTCAGGGGGGTGCAGGTTGGATCCCTGATTCTGGGAAATAAGATCCTGAAAGGCCAAAATAAATTTTTTTTTAATTTAATTTTATTTTTGGCAATGCTGGGTCTTTGTTGCTACGTGGGTTTTTCTCTAGTTGTGGTGTGCAGGCTTCTCATTGTGGTGGCTTCTCTTGTTGCGGAGCACCGGCTCTAGGGTGTGCAAGCTCAGTAGTGAAGCTCCCGGGCTCGAGAGCACAGGTTTAATAGTTGTGGCACACAGGCTTTGTTGCTCCAAGGCCTGTGGGATCTTCCTGGATCAGGGATCAAGCCCATGTCTCCTGCATTGGCAGGCAGATCCTTTACCACTGAGCCACCAGGGAAGCCCCCCAGATTTTTAAAAAATAAATAAAAGCATCATGCCATTCAAATGAACCCCAGCCCACAGAGCCATGTCTCGCCCTGGTTTCACCTGGCAAACTTGTTATAGAGATGAGTACAAGAGGCCAAGAGAAGGGATGGGGTTTGCTAGAGGCAGAGCAGGGCGGGACCCACAGAAGGCTGTATTCTGAGAGCATCTTTCTCTTAACTCATGGCACCCTCCTTGCCAGGCCTCACCCTCCTCATCCCCTATCTCCTCGGCCGCAAGAAGAGATGGAGCAAATGCAGAATCCGCGTGTTCGTGGGGGGCCAGATCAACAGGATGGACCAGGAGAGAAAGGCGTAAGTGGGGAGGGCTGACCATCCAGGGCTACCCCTGCCTGCCCCCGCCTGCCCGCACTCCGCATTCCACCCCTCGGGGGTCTCGGGTCACAGCAGTGGTGAGAGAGTTCAGGACAAGAACAGTTTTCTCTCTATTTCAGAAGTGGTTTTGGTGTCCTGTCCCCGTTAATAAGATGCGCACGTCCTAGTCCTGTCCATGGCAGGGAGGGCTGGTAAATTTTAAATCCACAAATCTCCAGGAGATTTGCAGTGAAATGAAGGATGGAGAAGGCCCCGCCCCTCAGAAATGAGGCGGGAGCTTAGAATCCTTCAGGGCAATGTCGCCCACCCCAACCCAGCCCATCCCCCCACCCCCAAGCTTGGGGTGCCGCCCCTGGTGAGACCGGAGGTGACTTCAGTGGCCAGGATGAAGGGCAGCAAATCCCCCGGAATCTCTTGGTGAGAAGGGACTCCATTCTCCAACTCCATGGCTGATTCTCTGTCTAAACAAGAGGAAGTCGGCCTGGTTCAAGTGCTTGGCAGGCGATGGCATCCGCCAGAACTGAGTGATGTTGGTTTACTGGTTTTATTGGCCACATCTTTCTGGCAAGAGTTGCTGATTTGCTGATTAAATTGTGAAGCCATTTCCTTTCAAGACATATCTAAGTGAGAACGTGAGCTGACTTAAGCTCAGGTGGAAGTAAAGAGTAAGGCACGTACACAGGTGTGGAGGTGGCAGGAGTCGGGCAGGTGGCACACATGTGCTAGATTCTGGTTCCTGTTGCTTTAGAGCAAGGTCAAGTGAGGTCGAAGGCCGTAGGACCAAGGACTGCTGGAGGGTGCGGGTAGGCTGGGGAGGATGGGGTGGGTGGCTTGCCCCAAACTGTGCAATTAATTAGCCAGAGAGAAAACCCTGCACAGCCTTGAGTGCCTGCTGTGAGGCCTCAGGGGCAGGACCCCGTGGCCTGTGCCACCCTAGTCCTATGCCAGGACCACACCCATCCCCATGACCCCTGCTGCATGGGTTAAGGGCGACCAGCAACCCCATCTCATTGCCCTTACCCCCGTTGAGAGCTTCTCCACTGGAGGGCCCTTCTCCTCAACGCGGAGGAGAACGTTGCCCAGGAAACGCAGCATCTGCTTCTCTGTGCTCCTCTGCGTTAGGTAAACACACCACAAAGGCCGCCTTGCCCTCTTGGCTTCCTGTTCCAGCTCCCACTCAAAGTTGGGCTCAGGGGGCATTGGCTTAGATCGAGGCCGCAGCACTGTGGGGTCACAGGATGTCTTGCAAGCAAAGGTTGTGAAATCTCCTCTCCTCCCGGCTGACTCTGGACCAGCCCAAGTCCTCTGCCTTCCTTGTGACCCCAGGCCACCCCTGTGCTGCCCACAGCTCTGCTTTCCTAAGTTCACTCCCAAGTTCTGGGACCAGCAATGGCTTGGCAGTTCGTCTCCATTTTGTCCCCTGGCATGCTCCACACCGTCCCAGGCAGCCCCTCACTGCTCCCACCCCATCCCCTGCACCCCCGTGTCTTTGCTTATTTGGACTCTCCTCCTGGGGTGCTCGCTCCCCACCAGCTAGTCCTGGGGCATCACCAACGCCATGTCCTGCCCAGGGATTTGGATGCAATGGGCGGACTAGGGCCGAGGCACGAGTACTGTTTAGAAGCATCCTTGTGTGGTTCCGGTGTGAACACGCTTATCCACCCTCTTCAGTCTATAACAGTCTTACCCACCGTTCACCATCTTCACCATCCAGCCAGATTGCCACCTCCTCTGTGAAGCCTTCTCTGACTGCCTCAAACCACAGTTGCTGTTTCCTCCTTGTGGATGCAAACTCAGGGCTAGCTGGCTTGCTACTCCTGGTTCTACACTCAGCTCATACGTGTTACCTGCTCCCGCAGCCACCCTGCGGAATTTCCTGCCATTCAACTCCCATCCCTTAGCCCCTCGTTTCTCAAAGTGTGGCCAGTGAACCAGCAGTCTCACATCACCTGGGAGCTTCTTAGAAATGCAGAATCCCAGGCTTCCCTAATGGTTCAGTGGTTAGGAATTCACTTGCCAATGCGGGGGCCACGGGTTCGATCCCTGGTCTGGAAAGATCCCACATGCAGCAACAAAGACCCAGCTCAGACAAAAGTAAATCTTAAAGATTAGGAAAAAAAAAAAAAAAAGGAAATGCAGAATCCCAGGTCCTAACCCAGGCCAGCTGGATCAGAACCGGCATCGTAACAAGCTCCCCAGCAGGTGCACAGACGTTAGAATGTGAGGCACTCTAGCCCAGGGATGGCCACTGGAGACTTAGGACAATTCCTTTCTCCTGTCACTCATCATCTGACCTGCTTTATCAATATTCACTTATTGTCTGCCTCCCTCGCAGGATAGAATGTGAAATCCCCGAGGGCAGAGTTTGTTTTGTTCACTGCTATATCTTCCCTGGCTCAGATGGTAAAGCCTCGCTTGCAATGCAGGAGACCCAGGTTCAATCCCTGAGTCAGGAAGATGCCCTAGAGAAGGAAATGGCAACCCACTCCAGTATGCTTGCTGGGAGAATCCCATGGAGCCTGGTGGGCTACAATCCATGGGATCACAAAGAGTCAAACATGACTGAGCAACTAACACACATATCCTCCACAGGTGCTCAATGAAAACTCACTGAAGGAATGAATGAATTAAAAAAAAAAATCTCTGTCTTCTAGGATCATTTCTCTGCTGAGCAAGTTCCGGTTGGGATTCCACGAAGTTCATGTCCTTCCCGACATCAACCAGAAGCCACGGGCCGAGCAGTGAGTTTTCTGTGTTGGGGGTTCCAGGCAGAAGGGTCGGCCCTTTCTCTTTGGTGAACCAAGGGCAACCTGGCTCACCTGCCCCTGCCTACCCTGGGCTCATGGAAAGAGGAAGGATTGAGTTTGCAGCCGTTAATTTCTGTTTGAGTTTTTTCCTCTTGCCCCGTGGTCCTTTGCATATCAGAGCTGTGTGGTCTTTGCCAGAAACACACCTGGGCTGAAGGTCAATGAATGTTCCCATTCATGCTTTTCACAGACCAAGTGTCTTTGAAGCTCTTCATGGCTGTTGTGCCCCTAGAGCAGAGCTGGTGTTTCATCTGCCAGGGACCTCCCACCCACCCCACACGCCCTGGGGCTGAGTAAGTCTCCAGCTTCACACCTCCAGAGCTCAGGCTGCTGGCTACTCACAAAAGGCTGATTTTATCTACTCTGATTTTCTCAATTTTCTCCAACCCCTATTGTTTTCATAGAGGACTGGTTTTCAAACAACAGCATCACATGGAGGGTTTGTGAACACACAGCTTCAGGGGCCCAGCCCCAAGATTCTGAGTCACTAGGTCTGGGGTGAGGCCTGGAAATATGCACTTCTAACAAACTCTCCTATGCTGGTGCATGCACCTCACTTTGAGAACCACAGTCTCAGACGATCCGCATGCTTAACAGGGCGCCCGGCCCAGAGTCAGTGATCAGTCAAAGCTGAATTTGTGGCTTCTGCCCACTTGTAGCCTCCGAACTCTTTCTGCATCTCCACCTTTCCCTATAGTCCTAACTCTGCTACAGACTGCCTCCTTCCTTCTCCAGACATTGCTTAAATTAAGTGTCTGAAAAAGGGACTGTGACCAACCTGGCTGTTTGCTTCCTGCCAAGCCGAGGTAAAGGTCACTGGAAGGTCTATTTCTTGGCCACCTTTAGTCCACTTGGCCGTGGCCAGGAGTGGCCGGGTCATATGCCCCGAAATACACCACTGGAAGGAGGCTCCTTCTGCAGAGGCCATGGCAGAGGCACGTCCCCTCCACAGGGCCTACGGGCACTGGAACAAACAGAACGGGAGTTCCCCAGGCCCTGAGACAGAAGCATGGCAGCTGCAGCCCCTGGTGTTATATTAACTCACTGGCACTTGGGGAGCGGAAGATGTTGAATGGTCTGGGCAACCACTGCCCTGCTCACCCATGCAATGGCAAGTGGGCAGACTTGAAGCAAACTCCTTTGTGAATTTGTAGCAGGGTTCAACTGTGGGGCCAGAAGGAATAAGTTACTTTCCTCATGATTCAGTTGCATATTCTTAAAAGAAGACATTTACGATAGGATTGCCTTATGGAAATATGTCCAAGTGAGGTTTTCCAGGACTCTGTCTTCTCAGTAAAGTAAGGTCCATCCTGACCTCTTTAGCCCTTGTTTACCTGGAGAAGGAAGGACAGCAAGAAGAAAAGAAAGGGGACTTCCCTAGTGGGCCAGTGGCTAAGACTCCAAGCTCTCAGTACAAGGGGTCTGGGATCAATCCCTGGTCAGGGCACTAGATCCCACTGCCGCAAATAAGATCCCCCAGGCCATAACTAAAAATCCCTCATGTTGCCACTAAGACCCGGTATAGCCAAGTAAATAAATATATAAGTATTTTTTTGAAGGAAGGAACTAGTTAATAGTGATGGATATCCTGACTCCCCCATTCTCTCAGGGTTGTGCTTGAGCTACAGGGGCAGAGATGAGTAAATTGCAGCCCTGCCCTGCATGGTTTACTCTGGCCGAGGTAATGGGAGGATGTCAAGAGGCATTGGAATGGTGCAGAGATGGACCCGAACACAAAGGAGAACAGGGCCATCTCTGCTGGTGGAGGAGCAGAGCCTTGAGAAAGGCTGCGAACAGAGATGGGGGGAGACCTTCCCCCATGGAGAGGACAGTGGGAGCCACATGTAGAATCCCGCCCCCCCCCAGCCCATCTTGTCTTTAAACCCCATCTTTGCTCCTGCATCTGCCTCCACTTCCTGGACCATATCTCTCCTCCCATGCACAGCCGACCTTGTCCAAAGTGATGCTACCCTCTTTGTGACCACTTCCTTCCACCCCTCCCTCATTCTCCAGCTCATCCTCCAGCCCTCATCTTCCTGCAGCTCCACTGAAATCCCTCTTGCCAGGCTGGGCCGTGACGTCTGCACCGCTGGATCTGCAGAGCCGGCTGCTGTCCTCCTCGTTCTCTGCCTCACAGCTGCATTTGACACCATGGTCCTTCTTGAGACAGCCGCTTTGGATCCAAAATGCTGCCCTCTCCTGGATCCCTCCCACTTCAGTGACCCTTCTTTCCGTTTCCCTTGCTGGTGCTTCCTCCTTTCCCTGACTTACCTGATGGCATCCTATTCTCCTCTGCTCTCACCTTGCTCCACCCACACAGGCTTCCCTGCAGCTCCTCAAGCAGCTCAAGCACACTTCTGCCTCAGGGCCTTTGCACCTTCCATTCTGTTTGCTCCAACACCCCTGCCTGTGCATAGCTAGCTTCTGAAGGACAGGCATCCTTAGGTCCAGAGAGGCCTTTCTGCCCAATTATCTCCCATCCCAGGACGCAGTGTGTGCTTTCATAAAACTTCTGATCTATATTGAACTGCATTTGCCGCCCAGCAGACCATGAGCTCTGTGAGGACTGGGGATGGTGTCTGGTTTGTTCACTCTTGTGTAGCACAGAGCAGTGCTCAGTAAACACCCTGGGGTGGGAGTGGTCAGCGGGTGGAGATGGATCCCAGGTCAGGCTTCATGGACCACTTGTGGAAGTCCTGTTCAAAGTCAGACCCAGCTGTCAGGGCTGAATTCAACACAGAGGCTGCTTTGCTGTTAACAGCAGCATCAGAAAGGGTTTCAGCCTGAAATGTATGTCCCCACGGCCCCCACCTCCATCTCCCTCTGAGGACCCAGTTCCCCTGGACATGGGCACCTCACCCGATCTCACTGGCTCTCTCTGCCCCCAGCATCAAGCGCTTTGAGGACATGATTGCACCCTTCCGCCTGAATGATGGCTTCAAGGACGAGGCCACAGTCACTGAGATGAGGCGTGACTGCCCCTGGAAGATCTCAGATGAGGAGATTAACAAGAATAGAATCAAGGTGAGGGAGAAAGAAGGGGTGGGGTGGGGTCTGGGTGCTCCCCTGGCTCAGGGCCTGTGCCCCATCTGACCTGGGCTTGCTGAACCCCTTCCCCTGACCCTCAACTGTAGTCTCCCTGCACCAAGCCTCTGAGGTGTCCTCACGCCACACACGCTCAGGCTGACGAGTGACCCAGGGGTTGATCTCAGAGCCATCCTTGGTGTGGGAGCCTGGTCCCTCGGTCCATTTTGAGTCTCCCTGGCCATGGCGATGGACTGCCTGGGGTCCTTCTCCTCCTCTTCCCCTGTTCCTCCAGGTCTGCAGGAAGGAATTCATAAGGCAGGTGGTGAAGGTCAAGGTAGAGTTTGTCCTTTGTGGGCCCACAAAGCTGCCTGAGCTTCTCCCCTTAGCTGTGGACCTCACGCCCTTCCCAGGCAGCCTCTTCAGGACTCTGCTCAGGCCTCAAGGAGAGTAGGGGCTGGCGTGCCCATTTTAAGGTGGGGAGAGCAGTTGGGGCCTGGGGAGCTCAGTTCTGCTCCCTGTGAGTTCCATGGTGGTAGTTCTGAGGACTCAGGGGACATTTGGTGATTTCTGGGGACAATTTTGGTTGTCACCTTCCAGCAGGAATGGCTGCTCTCACTTAGCAAGTATCGGCCTGGGATGCTGCTAAACATCCTGCAACCCACAATGGACAGTTCCCACAATGCAGAGTGATTCCACCCAAATGCCGCCCATGTGAGATCTGGGTGAACTCACTTGCCCTCAGTTTTCCATTCTCTCCAAGGGGGTATCCGTCCACAATCCTGAGTGTCCACCATTTCTGAACAATTCAGAGACAAGCCTTGGAGGGGGAGGGAGTCCGCCCCACAGCTCAGCCCCACCCGAGCTTTGGGGAGTTCCCTGACCCGGCAGTCCTGACACTCGGCCTCTGAGCCTTCCAGAGTCACCCAGCTCCTGAGAAAAGGCTGAGTAATGTGTCGTGTCCACAGAAGTCTCCTGCCTACTCTGTCACAAAGGAGATAGAGCCATCGCCATTGCTAAGTCCACCTTATCAACTGCTTTCCCTTGGAGCTTTTGCATACATCATCTCACTCAGGCTTCCCCAGGCTCCCCAGGGAGGGCACTGTTGGACCCATTTCACAGCTGAGGACAGTGAAGCTCAGGGAGGCAAAGTGCCTGCTCAATGTCGGAAACTCCTAGAGCTGAGATGTGAACCCAGCCCTCCCCACTCCACAGGAGGTGCTCTTTCCCACCACAGTCCCACAATAATACGGTCAGGAAGAAAACACCTTGGGGGCTCCTCCAGGAGGCGAGCTTGGCATTGAGTTACCTTCTCGGAGGTTGGAGAATCTATCATAATCTGGGGGGACAGTTCACACACCCAGTTTGAGATGTTCAAGGATGTGGATTTGGGCTTGACGGGGATGGCTCAGAGGACGCAGGAAGTGACCACATGGCTTTTCCTTGCCCAGTCCCTGCGGCAGGTGAGGCTGAACGAGATTCTGCTGGATTACTCCCGAGACGCCGCTCTGGTTGTTATGTAAGTAGTGACCTGTGTGTTGGAAAAGCCTGATGCAGAGGCCACCATGTCAGCTTTAGAGGGATGGTCACTGGCTGAGGATCCGAGCCTTCCCCTGTGAGGATGAAGGGCCCCAGACCCATAGAAACACAATCCGGGTGGCTTCTTAGCCCGTGATCTGGCCTGCATCCACCGCACGCCCCACACCTACACGCCAGCTGGCCAAGGTCTTGGGTCCCCGAGTCCCAGGCCTCACCGACTCCCCCCAACCCTGCTTTCCCCTGTCCGTTGCTTTTTCCTGCCAAACTCAGCTTGGCAAAGGGGACCCAGTTTGTCCTGGAAGAAAATCGATTCCTAGTTGTTTGGCCAGCCCTCTTTGGTCACCAGCCACCCCCAGTTGATGTTGGTGCCAGGTCTGGGCAGCGGAATCGGAACCTCGCCCTGGCCGGGGCTGTTCCAGCCTCCAGGCCCGTCGGACACTCCAACTTCTCTTGCCGCCACCCCTGTCTGGTTAGGAGCCGCTTCTGCTGCCCGTTGACCCAGGCTGCGTAAGCGGAAGGGCCGGAAAGGTGACAATGGCTCGGTCAGCCAGGCCCCCAGCCCTTCTCCCAGGGACAGGCCCTGCTCAGAGGGAAAGCGGCCCTCTGCCACGAGGAGCCCCTGACATTTCCTGGGGCAAGCCACCCGCAGATTGCACAGGACTGCGGAAAGCCGGCCAAACCTGTTTGTTCACACCCTGAGACCAGGATGGAGCACAGCGTTTGTGCGGCTGTGCGCAGTGAGAACTTGGGGCCCTTTGCTCAAAGGCAATTGAGAACGTCAGGTTGGTGGCAGCAACGCATGAAACCCAGCCTGGGACCCGTCTCAGGGGGCGCTTCATGACCGCCCAGGTGGCTGCCCACGAAGCTGCCTCTGTCTGAAGCTGTTCTTTCTGGGGCTTATGGGGAGATAATCTTTTCTACAAAGAAAGTGCTCCATATTTCCTTTGATGTGGGGACCGTGGTATAAGAAAAGCAGGTGGATTTCCGAGCCGCGACCAACATCTTGCGGAGAATGCTTCTAGGGCCAGGTTAGCCTGGTTGTGGGCCGGATCAGCGGGTAAGACGGGGACAGTGGCTCCATCCTGGGGTGGCTCCCTGATTTTCCCTGGGTGTGGTACTTGGGGTGTGCCAGCTGGGGTGTGGGTGTGCCAAAGCACCTCCTCCTGAGTGCCACCTCTGTTCAGAGAAGCAGATTTACATTTTGTCTCTGCCATTAGCCCACTGCGTGGCCTTGGACAAGTAACTCTCCTTCTCTGAGCCTCAGCTTCCCTGATTATACGTTTCTTTTAATGTTTATTTTTGGGGGCTGCATTGGGTCTTACTTGCAGCACTCAGGTTCTTCATCGTGACATGCGGGCTTCTCTCTAATGTGGTTCATGGGCTCTAGCTCTGTAGTTTCTCTTCTGGTTAAGGCCCCCAGACTTGTAGTCGTGGCTCTCAGGCTTAGCTGCCCAGAGACATGTGGGCTCTTAGTTCCCTGACCAGGGATAGAACCCATGTCCTCTGCACTACAAGGCGGATTCTTAACCCCTGGACCATCAAGGAAGTCCCTCGCTGATTATAGAGAAGAGTTAAATTAATTATTTCCAAGATTCTCTTTCACTCTAACACGCTATGACCCTAACTTTACCACGAAAATGAGTCAGTCTCTCAAGCCATAAGAGGAGGAATTTCATCTGGGGAGGGAGCACCTCCTGTCACCTCTCCCCTCCCACTCCCCCACCTTCTGGATCTCTCAGGGGAAACCACCCACCAGCCTTTCTGGGATTAGCTGATACAAACAAACAGTCACCTTAGAGGAGAGACCTGCACACAGGGTCCACCCCATGGCGACTGCCACAGTTGTTGCCTGAAAGGGCCCTGGCTATCATCCAGCCCCACTGGGAGCAGCTGCTCTGTTCATCTCCAACCCGGAGACATGCCTTTAAAAGTTCACCCTGAGGGTCCCCTGCCTCAGAACCATTGAGGGGGCCGGGAGGCGTGGAAAACAGCAAATTCCTCAATTCCTTCTAGATTAGGGTCTGTGGTTGAGCCCAGGAGCCTGCATTCCCCAGAAATCCCAAGAATGAGAAAATCCTCCCAAGCCTCCAGGAAATGACAAAAATCACATTTTCTAGCACATCCGAGAGCACACATGGACTGTTTTCTAGAGCAGCTTTGAGGCAGAATTGGCTTGTTTGCTGTCTACTAATCACTGGTTTATCTGATTAACCGTCCATGTTTGAACTCAGCTTAAACTGAACACTAATAAACCAGCCTTGTAACCAGCCCAACAACCTTGACCACACTAAGCACATATTTCGGGCATAACTTTTGGGTCTAGACCCCTCTTTTTTTTCTATAAAGACTCCCTCCTCAAAGCTAAATGCATGTGTGCTAAGTCGCTTCAGTTGTGTCCAACTAATCACTGGTTTATCTGATTAACCGTCCATGATTGAACTCAGCTTAAACTGAACGCTAATAAACCAGCCTTGTAACCAGCCCAACAACCTTGACCACACTAAGCACATATTTCAGGCATAACTTTTGGGTCTAGACCCCTCTTTTTTTTCTATAAAGACTCCCTCCTCAAAGCTAAATGCATGTGTGCTAAGTCGCTTCAGTTGTGTCCGACTCTTTGCAACCCCATGAACTGTAGCCCACCAGGCTCCTCTGTCCATGGAATTTTCCAGGCAAAAATACTGGAGTGGGTTGCCATTTCCTATTCCAAGGGATCTTCCCGACCCAGGGACCAAACCCATTATTCCTATGTCTCCTGTTTTGGCAGGCACATTCTTTACCACTAGTGGCACCTGGAAGCCACCAAAGACAAATAGTAATAGTCGAAATAATAGTAATCAAATTGAATTTTATTGAGTGCCTCTATGACACTCAAGGCATTGGGCTTTATTAATTAAAAAAAATTTTTTTTCATTTATTTTTTGGCCATACCAAGCAGCACGTGAAATCTTAGTTTACCACCAGGGATTCAATCTGCGCCCCTTGCATTGGGAGCATGGAGTCTTAACCACTGGACCACAAGGGAACTCCTAATTTTTTAAAAATTTATTTTATTAAAGTATAGTTGATTTATAATGCTATGTTAATTTCTGCTGTATAGCAAAGTGATTCAGTTATGCATATATATACATTATTTTTCATATTATTTTCCATTATGGTTTATCTGAGGATATTGAATATAGTTCCCTGTGCTACACAGTAAGACCTTGTTGTTTATCCACCCTATACATAATGGTTTGCATCTGCTAATCCCAAACTCCTAATCCACTGGGCCTTATTAGTTTTCAGAACTCTATGAAGTGATTCTGCTTTACCCCTATCCCCACTGCAGCACACACCTTTAGGAGATGAGGAAGCTGAGTCTCAGAGAAATTCAGAACCTGCCAGATGGTGACGGGTTTAAAGCCCAAGACACTGGTTCTGAAGCTCAATTATCTTTCCGCATCTAGGTTAGATCCAAGGCTGCCTTTCCTTGTAGCTAAGCGATGCAGTTCTGAGCAAAAAGCTCCTTTGTTCTGGAGCAGCTTGATTTCTAAAGATTAGTAGCTTACACCACACACATCCTGTGGGTAAAAACAGAGCATGTTGTTTTCTGGCACTGGGGGAGAGTGCCAAGGGTGTCTGTCCTTCAGACAGGCAGACAGATGGACAGGCTCTGCTTTGGGAGGGAACTTCATGTTGGGGCTTGAAAAGCCACAGCAGGAGTGACGGAGGTCCCCTGCCCCCGCCACTTCTTTGACATTTCTAATTGCAGCCCCTGAAAAGGATGTATAATACTAGTAGTTCAGCAAACTTCAGTTACTCGGTTGTGTCCGATTCTTTGTGACCTCATAGACTGCAGCACACCAGGCTTCCCTGTCCGTCACCAACTCCTGGAGTCTACTCAAACTCATGTCCATCGAGTCGGTGATGCCATCCAACCATCTCATCCTCTGTCATCCCCTTCTCCTCCCACCTTCAATCTTTCCCAGCATCAGGGTCTTTTCCAATGAGTAGTAACCAGTGGGCATTTCTAGCCTTTAGTGTAACTGTCAAAGCAGGAAAGTTTGGTTTCAATATTCCCACTTCCCTTTTCTTGGGAAAGGCACCAGAAAAACACAAACTCAGTCTCTTAACTAAGGTGACACTGGCTTAATGAAATGTCCTTGTTCACATGGGGTTCCCCGATCCTGGGGACCTTGCTTTATAAGGGAGAATACTGTTTGTCCCAAATGAAGCTTTGAGAAGGGAATTTTTAAAAAAGGGACAGCTGTTTGGGGACCTTGATTCTCAGCAAAGGAGGGGTTGCAGTGAGCTGGGATCGTGGTCAAGCCCCAGCTCTGCCATTCACTGGCTGGGTCATCTCCAGCTCGTAAATAGTAATAGGCGGTGACAATACTGCTGACGTTACAAAGTGCTCATTCTGTGCCAGTGTTTTTGTGCAGTATCCTTCATGAGCTAGGGCTTCTTTAGAACTCACAAGTCCATGGCAGAGGCATGTGTGTTCACGTTGGGGAAACAAAAACAGGCTCAGGGTCAGCGAGCCATTTGTCATAGTTACATGGCCGAGGAAGTGGCAGAGCCATGACTCTAGCAGCTTCTCTGACCCAGAGCCAGCCTCTGAAGCCCAGCATTGCACAGCATCCTCCTCTCTGGCCGGTTCCCTCCGCTTTTCCCCCGGTAGTTTTGAGGTTCAGATGAAACCATACCTGTGGGTGTACTTTGGGAAAACAAACAAGGTTCAGGCCCACGTAACATGCTGGTGCCCCAACTTTGTGCAGCGCCAGCCGGGTTGGTGTGATGCCGCCTTCCCGCAAGAGCCGCGAGCAGGGCGGTGGCAGTCATCGCCAGGCGTCTTTGGAATCTCAAGATGGTGGAAAAGTCGCTTCCTGAAATAGCCATGAAAATGTGGCTGAAGAGCCTCCCCAGGGCATGTGGTTATTTGCTCAGCATAGCAGTTCAGACAAGACAGTTCAGGGAGACGGCAGAGTCCTGCTCCCAAGGCCTTACATTAACTGGGGCAGGAGCCAGAACTAGGCTGCTCAGGTGAAACGCATGAACATATCACTTTGCTGGGGCCCCAGGCAGGGGTGTGGCTAGAGAGGCGAGGCTGGTGTGATCGGAGTGGGATCGTGAGCCTCGCCTTGTTAGACTGTGTTCTCCACAGAGAATAAGACAGACCCTGCCTGCTCATGAGCGAACAAACATTCTAGTGGGGGGAGACAGACAACAAACAAATAAATGAGAAGAGGATTTGACAGTGTGAAGTGTTACAAAGATAATGAAACAAGGTGACATGATAAAGAGAGATGGGATTGAAGAGGGTGATCTGAGAAGGAGGTGCACTTGGGCCAAGACCCGAGGGAGACAAGGTGAAGAGCTGGGGGCTGGCTCTGCCATCTGCGTGGAAAGAATGTCATGTGCCAAGGCCCTGGGGCAGGAACAAGCTGTCCATTTATTTCAGGAGTGGAAAGGAAGCCTGGCTATAGGAGTGTGAGGGAGCCTGAGGGTGGTGGGAGGGGAGGTTGTGGAGGCTGGTGGGGCCAGGATCATGGGGCCCTCACATGCCAAGGCTTTATTTAGAAATGCTTTGTGGCTGAAGTTACATTTCAAGTCACGCTTTCAAGAAGAGCCACAGGTCATTCTTAGGGTGGCTGGGAAGAAGGAGCGCTGAAGGGGCCAATAAACAGAGATCCTGTTCAGGAAGCAGACCGGGAGCTGGGCCATGTGGGGAAGACCCCTGGTTAATTTCCCATCTGCTGCTTCTTCCTGCCCCACAGCACCCTGCCCATAGGGAGGAAGGGGAAGTGCCCGAGCTCACTCTACATGGCCTGGCTGGAGACGCTGTCCCAGGACCTCAGACCTCCTGTCATCCTGATCCGAGGAAACCAGGAGAACGTGCTCACCTTTTACTGCCAGTAGCTTCGGGCTTGGCTGTACCTGCCCAAAGCCTGAGCGCAGGGGACGCCCACCTGTCCACGGGCACAGAAGGCATACCCTGTCACATGTAGCATCTGATGATCTGATGGAAGTTGGTAGATTTTCAAACATCTGCTGGACCCCACTCCCATCGGGCGTGTGCTCTGTGTGTTTTGTTTTTATGGGCTAGAGAAGTAGCAGATAGAGTTGTCTGCTCTATCCGGTGGGTCCATATCCCTTTTAAGTTTTCTTTTGCTCTTGATTACAACAAATTAAGATTTCAGTCTTTGATTTGTGTACAAATTTGAGTTAGACCGCTGGATGTGAATCTTGGCAGTTTCTACGGACCTTTCCTGGGAGCACCCCCTAAACACGCCACCCCCTTCCAATGTCAGGCAAGTGGGCACCCCACAGGCACCTGCAGCCCTTACAGGAGGAATACAGGGCCCCTTGAGCCTCCATAATAATGCAAATTTATTTAACTGCCTCTCACTTCCTTCACTTTCAATAATGTGTCTAAAGTGCTTTGGTTCTTTGGTAAACCGGGACTTTCAAACTTTTCTAGATGGCAACCTATGGTAAGAAATCTATTTGACATTGAGACTGGGAACAAATACAGTGAAATGAAAGTGTCACAAAACAATCCTTATCCTTTGCTGAGAAAGACAGAGCTTCTGGCTGAGCACTTGGAGGAGGGAGAGGGGGGTGCCTTTGGGCCATTCAATGGCCTGGGACCAACTCCCACTCCAGATTAGGCAAAGCCTTTCTAGAGCCACATGGAAAACCACTTCCTGGCAAATGGTTGCTCCCTCTTCTGACCTCAAGGAGACTCTGATCCAAGAACAGAGAATGCTTTGACTTCGGGAATTTAAATAAAACACTTCACCATGTTGGAATCTAAATTTTGAACAATGATAATAGCTTTGTTTAAAAAAAAAAAAGCTTTGAGTTAACAGTGAGGTCAAAAACAATGAAATGAATTAAAAAATACATTTACTCAGTCAACAGAATTTATTTGTTTTGGAACAAGCTGTTTCTCAACTCTGCTGAGTGTGTTGGAAAAACTAACTATATTGTTTTTTCAACCCTGGATTAAACTTTTCTCTGAGTTTCCACTGGTCTTGTAGGTTATAGTGCCAGATTTCTACATGGTCGTTTACAGGGGTCACTTACTTTTTCCCTTGCTTCTCTTAACATGTGCTTGAAGATGCACAGAGAACCTGTCTTCTTTAATCTTTTAAAAAGTCTCCCAGGAATTTCAATCTTGCCTCAAACCAAGAGGTGGAGAGATTGAGTGGAAAGAGCCACTGCGTGGCCACCAAGGAACCTGGATTTGAGTTTTTATCTCCCCCCAAAACTGGCTGTGACCTCAGATATGGCCCCTTGCCCTCTCTGAGCCGCAGTCTGTGAAGTGAGAGAATGGGACTGAAGCAGGTGTCACCAGCCAGCTGGCCTGCTGCTGACTGTGCTTTGGCCATGCCTTTTTTTAATTTTTATTTTTAAAATTGCGTGTGTATTTCCTTTGGCCGTGCTGGGTCTTCGCTGCGGCGCGGGCTTTCTCTGCCTGTGCTGAGCAGGGGCGGCTCTTCGCTGCGGTGCTCCGGCTCCTCTCGCTGTGTCTCCAGGGCTGTAGGGCAAGGGCTCAGCAGCTGCAGCGCATGGGCTTAGTTGCTCCGAGGCATGTGGCGTCTTCCCGGATCAGGGCTGGAACCTGCGTCTCCTGCACTGGCAGGCGGATCCTTAGCCACCGTGCCATCAGGGAAGTCCCCCACGTGTGGTTGACCAGTGTTATGGAAGCGAGGGGATGGGGTGGGTGAAGGGCACATTCTTCAGTCCCCCCACCCCCACTGTGGCACACCACTTCCGGCTGCCCTACTGTGCGCTCAGAGGCTCTGAAGACAACGCTCCCACCCCTCACCCGCCCCACCTCCCGCTGAGTCATCGTTGGGTATGTGAAGCACTGAGAGATGAAGAAACTTTGGTCCGCTGTGTGTGTGTCTGCATCTGGATGATAAGATGCTCCACGTCAGTGAGGAGTCCCCCCTTGCACTGTGCCCAGGAAACCACAGAGAGGTGGGCATCAGAGCTGGAGCCCAATCTGCCAGCAGCCACCCCGGCCACTGCAGAAGGGACTCCTCACTTATCTCCCCCACAATCCACTGCTCATATAGCTCCTGACGTCCCCCCCCTGGCATTTCAGCCTCCAGATTTCATGTCCTCTTTCAGTTCCTGCCTGGGCTTGTGGCTCTGATGTAAGATAGGCTCTCTGAGCTCCCCTCTCAGGCAGGGAGCTGTGGGTCTCACAAGAACATGGAAAGCCCCGTCTGGACTGAATTCCCTTTTACACACCGGCCTGGCCTCTCGTGTGGCTTGGAGGGCGAGGTGGGTTTCACACGGATGAGACTAGCTGAAATGTTCCTGAACCACCACCTGACTGAGAGGCCCCCGAGTACATGCAAAGCAGCCAGGTTTTGCTTGTAGCCGTGTATAGCTCAGGAGAGCAGAAAAAAAAAAAAGACCACCCCCTTGGGAAGTGTTCACAGAAATAGGGCCCAGGAAAGTCCAGCCACTGGCTTTGTTGGTAATTGCCCACTTGAAATGAGGGTCAAACTTATGACCGAAAGCACAAGCATGATACGAGTGCCCCTGCCTGAAAGGGAGCCATAACAAACACAGTTTCTAAAAATATCATGTGGTCTAGTGTTAAGAAAAACCACCTGGCTGAGAGGCAAAGCAGCAGAATGTCATATGGTTAAAAGACAGTAGCAAGAAAAGAAGTGTTTTCTGCTCCAGCTTATAGGAGAGTTTCAAAAGAAAATGCTCTGATGATGCAAAAGAGGGAGAAGAGAGAGTAAAGACTAAGGTGGAGGGTGGAGGGAACTTCCCAAGGACTAATAAGACTCCATGGTCCCCAGTCAGGGGCTCCCCTTTGGACCTCTGGTCAGGCAACTAGATCTCCCATGCCGAAACTAAGAAAAAAAGATCTCACATGGTGCAACTAAAGATCTCACATGGCCTAGCTAAAGATCCCACCTGCCACAACAAAGATCGATGATCCCACGTGCTGCAACTAAGACCCGGTACAGCCAAATAAATAAATGTTAAAAAATAATAATTTCCCCCACCTTCCACTTTAGTCTTTGTTCCCTCTTTTGATCTTTAGAGCATTTTCTTTTGTGACTCTCCTGTGTAACCCTCTTTTGTAACTCTCCAAACTAGGAATGTTTGGAGAACAAGAAATAAACCATTCTTCCTGGTTTAAGAGAGTTATGAACTGGGAGAAAATAAGATTGAGAAGGTCTTCAAGTGCAAGGCCCCCACGGGGAAGCTGAGGAGCTCAGAACTGACTCAGAGGCACCAGGGAGCCACTGAGGGTGAAGGGGCAGCCTGAGCCTGAGGACGTTTGGCCAGACAGGAGACAGAGAAGGCTGGAGGAGAAAGGGCAGGGTGCCCAGAGAGGAGGATGTGCAGAATTGCCAAGGCAAGCCAGCAAGCCTCAACACTCTTTAGAGTGGCAAAGGGCAGGGGAAAGAGGAGGAAGAAATAGCATCTTCCAGAACTGAGAATGGCCTGGATGTATGTGTAGATGGAACAGGGCCCCAGAAGTTGAGCCTGGGCAGCTGTAAGAACAAACAAACTATGTCACATGGAGGATGAGGGATCAGGCTTCCTGCTGGAGGAAACGAGCAAGTAGGCGGGTTTGGTTTCAGCTACTTAAAGTATGAAGACACCCCAAGGGTCAGAAATGTGGTCCTGGAGCTCAGGAAGAGCTCATGGTGTCCACTGTTTCAGCCTGACACTCAGCAGAGATCATAAGTAGATTTGGGAGTCACACTCATGGACAGGAAATCAAAGTCACAGCTTGAGTGAGGTCACCAAGAAAGAGAGTGCAGGGAATGCAGAGGGCTGGAGGCTGGACCTCGGAAGGGCTCCATTTAGGGGCAGGAAGACGAGGCAGCCAACAAAGCAGCCTAGAAAAGATCATTAGTGGGGGAATATTACTCAGTCATAAAAAGGAACAAAATAATGCCATTCGCAGCAACCTAGCAATTGTCACACGGAGTAAAGTAAGTCAGACACAGGAAGACAAATATTATATGCATACGACATCATTTATAAATGAATCTTTTTTTAAAAAAGGTACAAATGAACTTACAAAACAGAAGTAGAGCACAAACATAGAAAACAAACTCATAGTTACCAGAGGACAAAGAGGGGCAGGGTAAATTGGGAGAATGGGATTAACACATACACACCCACACATATATATAAAATAGATACAAATAAAAGCCTACTGTATAGCACAGGGAACTCTACCCAATATTCTGTAATGGCCTATATGGGGAAAAAAAATCTTAAAAACAAAAAAAGAGTGGACATGGATACATATACAAGTATGACTGACTCACTCTGCTGCACAGCTGAAGCTAACACAGCATTGTAAATCAACTACACTTCAGGAAAAATTTTTCGGAAAAGACCATTGGTGGGGCAGGAGCAAAACCCAGGTAATGAAGGGCCTCAGAAGGCACCAGGGTCCAAGAAGCACAGAACTGTCAGCTCTCATGTTACCCGAATGGCAGATGTAAAGTCACTGCTGAATTGCGGTTCTGGGCATCACTGGGAGCCTTAGAATAATTCAGTAAGGTAGGGGGTCAGGGACCCCAGACTGAGGAATAGTTGGTGGAGGCGGAAGGAAAGCAGCAGATATACATTTAGACCCATGCTTGAGTGACCCAACAATAGAGAGAAAAACGACAATATGGTGAAGAAAAATAAGGAGGACCTTGGAAGAGAAGCAGACTCCAGGGAAAGCATTTTGATTGTTGTTGTCTTAGGGGGTGTGTCAGTCAGGATAATGCTAGGTTCTGCTGCAGTCATAAATTACCCTGTAAATGTTAGCAGCTTGTATGATAAAGATCAATTTCTCTCTTGCAAATATTCCTGTGCTGGGTAAGCCCTCTCATCCACCTCAAGTCCCGGTGATTAGTCCCATCTTGGAAGGCAATCACTTCAGCCAGTAGCTTCCAACTCACCGAGGAAGGGAGAAGAGAGCGGAAGGGTCATGCACTGGTTTTCAAACGCTTCTGCTCAGAAGTGACCTGTTGCTTCCACTCAAAGTCCATGAGCCAAATAATTCACATGGCACCACCTTGCTGCGGGAGTGCTGAAAAACTGGGAGGACCATAGAAGTATTCATGGGGCAAGAAATGTCTCTGTCATGGGTGGGAATGAGAAAGAGAAATATAGGTTGGAGGGGAAAGATTTAACATGCAAGGAAAAGAGTAATTGATGAAAAGGTAGTAATGGAGAATCAACAAAATGCGGGGGGAGTTTTGCCAAGCAGCACAGAAGGCATTTGAGCAAACTCTGGGAAATGGTGAAGGACAGAGAAGCCTGGTGTGCTGCAGTCCATGGGATCGCAAAGAGTTGGACAACAAGGAAGACATAGCTAATGTCTGCTAGCTCAAGGGTGCAAAATTCCCAGGACACCTGCCCTTGTGCCTGTCTCTGCCAAGGCTCCTAAGCACCGGGTCATAAAGCAAATGTGCAGAATGAATAACCAGGGACATGATCTCCAGTGATGGGATGGGCCAAGCAAGAAGGATGGAAGGCCAAGGTGCGAGAAATCCAAGGAGAATGACCAAAGTACATGAGCTCCAAAATGGATGGAGAGACTGGAAGTGAGCCACAGGATTTGAGAACACTTGAGGGACTGGTAGCAGGAGGACAAAAAGGATAGCCAGGGGAGGTGGGAGAGAGGGAGATGGAGAAGAATACAGGGGAGGTTGTGGTCAGTATGTGTGCATTTCAACATGTGAGATTCTGCAGGAGGTGTTGGAGCAAAATCTAGGGTGTCTGTCGTTTGACTGTGAGCTCT